TAGTCTCTATTAGCTAAGGCTCGGGCCTCTATGCCTTTCGTGGTCTCCCTCTCTTCCTACCGGATGACGCTGTTGTTACCGATCTATCGCTCTTGTTAGTTACGCTCTTGTTAGTTACGCTCTTGTTAGTTACGCTCTTGTTAGTTACGCTCTTGTTAGTTACGCTCTTGCTAGTTGCGCTCTTATTAGTTGTATGCTAACTAGCCTGAAGGCTAGTGCCTGTTCTGCTTGCTAGTGTAGGGCCGGTGCCCTTGCCCCTATTGCTAGGGCGTACGGCCGGCGCGAGACCGCTACTCTCGACGCTGCTAGTGAGCTCCTCGCTCGATAACGAATCCCTCGGTGTACCCTATGAGCTGGCGGACGACGAGTGCAAGGTCGGCGGCGGTCGATTGATGCTGTATAGGGCCGGGATATAATAATATCTCCCACGGTATTTTGACAATTCGCCTACGCGTTCTACCTCCCGCTAACGAGCTTTGTACTCTGTGCTCTACGTAGCGTGTGCGCCCTCGCAATTAGCGCACTTATTCTCTTGTGTATCCTTCGAAGGGCAATCCCGAGACTGATAGCCCTCCGCACAATATATATATCTACTGTTGTTAGCACAGGTGGATCCTATGTGTCTATATTATTAACAGTTGAAGCACTGCCGTACACAAGCCGCCCTGTTATATAAGACGGCTGTTAGACTGTTGTAATCCTAGAGGACCCCCTTATCGATCGCCACGTTAGCCGGCACTAGAGAGGTAAACTTAACGATAAGTAAGCCCGATTTCCTACTTAGTATTCGTAGCTAGCTAACCTTTGCGATGTCTGCCTCCTTGCCCTAGTTGTGGTTGTTTGCAGCGAGAAGATCCTTTATAATCTTCTCCTGTGGTAGTGCCTCCGAGGCCTTGTTGATGCTAAGCGATTGTATATTTACGTCGTGTACAATTATACCCTAGGTCGGTATATAGACGAATACGGTCCTATAAAGGCCCTTTACCTATTTCTCTCGATGGATCCTTATAACCTCAGCCTCCCTCGTATCGCGCATCGTAAAGCGGAGATCACTAGACTTTAGTTGACGTGATACGAGAACTATTACCGATACGAGGGGCGCTGTGTCTATAGTTCTAGCTGCTTTCGCCCGGGCCTGATTCGTACGCTTAATGAGTTCGGCGCTCGTCAGACGGCGGAATACGCTAACCTGCGAACGATCGCTAAGACAGACTACCACTTCGCGGTTACGTGCTACCTCCGCCGGGCGCGTCGGCGAGCTCGATAAGCTGCTCGAGGAGAGATAGTGCGCCGGCGTAGGCATTGTGCGGACCATTTCGGCGAACGATCGAACCGTCTGCCGTGCTGGCGGCTCCGCCGCGGCCTTGATAGTAAGGGTAATCTCCTGCTTAAGGTCTCGGCGCAGCGCTTCGAGCTCCTGCTGCCAATCGGTCAGGGGCGTCGACAGGAGGTCCTTCGTCAGGTCTTCCACCTGCCGGAGGAAGCTGACGACCTTAGGGGCTGGTCTAGTTGCATTCTGACCCCTTCTAAGCTCTTTCAGAAGGTCGTGTGCCGCGTGGTTGGCGTTCAATACGCGCTCTCTGTTCGATGGCAGATTTTTCAATGGGCCGCCGGAAGCCCCTGGGGCCGGCCCAACACCCTTTGACGCGCGCAACATCGCAATACTAGTCGAGGAAGCTCGAGACCGGTGTCAAAATGTAGCGCAGGGAGTTAGATTGAATTTGCCGTTTACGAGAAGTTGCCAACTGGCGTGGTTCCTGAGGTATTTCAAAAATTCAATTCGGCGCTGAAGTTGTTGTTTTTCAGCTCCCCTACTTGTAGGTTGGGTTGTCTTTAAGGTGAACCGCGAAGTGCAAAGTAGTAACCAAGTAACAATGCGCACTTGATCACGAAGAACTAGATACATGATGCCAAATGAGTCTCCTTATATATCTGGTCCTTCGTGATGGTATAGATGGTAGATGGTATGGACGGTAGATGATTCTTGGCATGATCTACCCGTATCCCGGTATCTACCCTTTTCCTCCTGGGGCACATGCGGCAGTGGCCGTTCCTGGAGTCGAACTAACCGTCCAACCATCCAAAATCGCACCTTTCTAGCTACACACCCACCTCAACCACCTACCAAGCCACCAATTCGCTCTGAACCCTCGCAGAAATTAGCCAATCAAGAGGGCCAGTTTTTATTAGCCCTTGATGATATTCAAAGTGGCCGTATCAAATCTATCCGCGCAGCAGCTAGCCTATACGCAATACCGCGGTCAACACTACAAGCGCGCACCGATGGCCGAATCTCACGCATTAATAGCCGCCTAATTGGCCATAAACTGACCCAATTGGAAGAGGATTCGCTTACTCAATGAATTCTCTCTAACTATGGATAGACGTGGTGCATGCCTAGGCCTGCTACTGTACGAGAGATGGCTAGTATCCTACTAGCTGCGCGCTGTAGTAACCCTCCGCTTACCGTTGGTAAGAATTGGCCATCAAAGTTTGTTCAACAGCGCGATGAGCTTCGATCACGCTTCTCGAGGTGGTACGACTACCACCGCGCATTAAACGTAGACCCGAACACCCGAACACCCGAACACCCGAACACCCTACGAGCCTGGTTTACTACCGTGCAAAGCGTGATTAACGAGAACGGTATACAAGCGGAGGATATATACAATTTTGGCTACTAATTCTTGACGGCCATCGTAGCCAGCCACCTTACGCCCCTGTTCGACCACATATACTCAAAAAACGATATTATACCGCTTTGTAAACCTGCACATTCATCACATATACAACATCCGCTGGATATTGGCTGCCTTGCAGCATTAAAGAGAGCGTACGGGCGTTTCGTCAGCGATCTTGCACGTCAGGGATACATTTCACAATTTCGAGAATTCTTTTTTAGAAACACCTAGCTTCTGTTATTAAGAGTGGTAAGTCCGTCCTTGTTCGGCGCTTAATGATAGGTATCTAGGATTTTGCTGTATGAGAAATAGCTATTCAGTTGCAGCGCGATAGAAAGTCGTAGGACCTAGAGACCGTTATCTAATATCTTTCACTGCCTCACAGAAGCCAACAGTAAGACTCACGACCAAATACAGGTATAGTCGATGTGATCTAGGCGGATGTTACGGGTCAGGACGTTCACTGTAACCCACCTGACCCATCCCATCCCGGGAATATAAAGAGATTACCAAATTGAGTCGCTTTGATTGGGGTAGTAGACTATATGTTAGATAGCGGGTGAATTTAAATTAATTTTCCTCATTTACATCGCGTTGACCTGCTCGTATACGCACCTCTTTGGTTAGAGTCTTCAGCTGGGTCCTTGGAGAAGAGGTATCCAAGACCAGACCAGACCAGACCAGACGGTTGTAATGGTGTCGTGAAAAGTGGAGGTGAATATTACGGTGACATAGGATTGGTCCATGAGTCACCTACTTTTCCTTACAGTTTGTATGTAAAGTGCGGGTAACGCCCGGACTTCCGTATGGTCACTCGGGTACTCGATTAGACCGCCTGGGGACAGCTCAACCTGGCCCCTTTTCCATTCGTTCGAGTCTTCCCTTTTCTTCAATCAATCAATCTTTTCTGTATGATTCCGATAGCTCTCATTCGTCTAAATGCATACTAGTCTATACCGATTCAGCTCGCTTTGACAAATGGCCACGGTAAATCTATTTTCCAGGGTCAGCTCCGACCAGGAGAAGAGTTCAGCTCCCCAAAGACAGGGGAGGGAGACGGGAGGGTAGGTGAGAGGGAAAGTTTAGCCGAGGGGCCACGTCAGGGCTTCAGGGGGTTCGGGTGAAAAATAGAGAGCCTTCAGGGTGTTCAAGTGAAGGGACCTGAAGGGGCTGAAGATTAAAGCGGCAAGAGCATCCAACTCAACGAGTTCGATTTAATGATCAACAAAAGGGCGAAAAAAAAACATACAACAGCCAGGATTCGCATGTGGCCACCCACCATACTACTAACTGGCCGGCGTGTGGCTTATGTGCAGTCAATAGTCGGGTGGGTGCCGCCCGGGTGAGTTTAGGGTGAGCGCCGCTTTACGGTCGCGCGACCGGGGTGAGATAGGGTGAGTGCGCAATAGACAGGGTGAGAAGCTGGGTGAGAGCGGATGAGAATCACGCCACATCGCGCGACCACCGCACTAACTCTCTCACGTGCCCAGGCCACCAACAATGAGCTAGACATCCATCTACCCTGTCCGGCTAAATCCCGCGAATTGGCAAATCCACACCATTGGCGGTGCGGCCAGAAAGAGTTGCTTAGTATGTATTTGTCAAGCCAATTTCGAGATGAGTGTGGACCGAACATTGTGATAAGGGAAATGCCATATTGTAGCTCAAGTGGATAGATAGATGTCAGCCGTGGAATAACTATGGCAAACTTAATTTCACAACGTATGATACGTTAACTTGCATTACAGAAATCTAGGCTTTTATTGACAGGAACTGGGGTCTGCATATTTCCGCGACTAGGATCCAACCAATCACCAATGAGAGAGAGGCTTAGCGAGAGAGTACTGTAGAGTGTGTGTTTCTCGCTGTGTTCTTGCTGTGTCAACGTTGGCGTCGCGCAGTCGTGGGGTTGGTAAACCCTTCCTGTCCGTTCCTCCGTTTCAGGGCATTCTTTCTTCAATCAATCAACTTTTGCATCCAAGATTGGTTCTGCTTGGCCCGATGAGATAATCGAGACGTCAGTCTCGGCTACCCTAGCCGCCCCATTTACTATTTCTTACACCAAGAAACACCATATTATTAGGCGGGGCGGGTACTTCGCTCCTCAATGCATTCGTGAAATCCCGAGTTAACTTATACCTCCATTCAGACATCGAAAAAGGACGGTAAGTACTGGAAATTTAAGCGTAAATCCACCCATTCGAGAGCCAGCCATTTAATCAAGATGGGCGTTGAACCAAGGCCTACTTCGTCCTTCAGTCAACAGACTACGTTCCCACTAAGTGCATCCTGCTGGGGCAACTCATCGCCAATCCAAGAATGCCGTACCGCGCAATCGAGAGACATCTCCAGGGGGTAGCTTCGGCTCCGGAGCTCAACGTCTCGCCCAAGAAGAATTGGAGATATATCAAGTCCATGAGCGCGAGCGGTGAACTCGAATTATTCCATCATTTCCTGGAGGTGGCGACCGCAAGGCTCTCTGGCCATGCGAAGAAGGAGTTGATCTAGACCTGGAAGGCCGCTGAGTTACAGACGCAATTCATCGAATTGGCGAGGACCCGTCGCATGCTAAGGATAGTATGGCAGTGAATTGAAGACCTGGCTCAAGGGAAACAAGAAGTTCGCCAAAACAGTCTACATGGTCACAGGGATCACGATAGCCATGCAGCCCGGGCAGACAACGTATGGCTCCTCGCGTGGAGTAGGCGCCTTGGGGGAGTTCGGTGCCGATCCTGGAATCGAGGCTACGGAGCTCGGGGCGAAAGGCACCTTCGATCTGTCGACTTCCGCATCCGAGGCGAGCGAGCCCGCCGAGGATTTTGGCTTTGCCTATCGACTGCGCAAGATCCACATCAGCTGGCGCAACAAGATTCGTCTGCGTGGCGACGTCACTGGTGCCGACTTGCACGGCGTTGGTAGCAGTCGCAAATAAGCGGAGCGCCAGTCTTGTGTCTTGGCCCATCGATCTTAGGCCCCGGTGCTACGTGGAGAAGGTTGGCGCAAGCAGGACCATTCCAGCACCTGTCTTAGAAGAGGCCACTATCTCGTCCAATGTAATTTTCCTGGAGCAGTGATCCGCCGCTGATCGTAGTCGGACCATAAATTCCAGAGCTGCCCTGAAATATGTTCGAAGCTTGCCCTTCCGTTGTTCTTCTTCCCGCCTCCTCGCCGGCAGTACATCTTTCTGAACCCTTCGCTCTCAATTGAGGCGGCCTGATGCTCTCAGACGGAACTGATTCCTTTACCCATCGACGAAGCTCACCAACAACGGCGATAAATCCAGGGTCATCTCCACCTTCGAACTTTGTCATATCCATATGATTGCTACGTATCCCTATGGGAATGTAACCAGGCAGGATGGCAGACTGAGGCGGAACGACCTGAGAGAATATGAGTTCACTGATTACAACGGAAACTCTACTCGACTCACAATACCAACGCCCGGTAAGGGTAACTCTTCATAGAAACACGTAATCTCGATCGGCAAAAGCCCGTCCTGACCTCGTGACCGAATCATTGTGTGAAAGCCGTTCTGAACCGGTTCCAGTACCTCAGAATCGTTCTTGAGGACGACCAAAATTTCAGTGTTTGTCTGCTTGAGAATGCCGATAGCCTTGGCTAGACATTCCGCCCAGTGTGCAAGACCGGAGCCATGGTGCGGAGTGCCGAGAAATACAATCCCGCGCGTGCAGTGGAGTACTTGCTTAAGATGCCTCTCAGGCCGTTGTTGTGCTATCGACAGAGCCTGTGTCTGTTAGAGCCTACACTTAGATTGGCAGCTCAGCAAGATAACTAACATCTTCACAGACAAGACCGCCTAAGCTATGGCAGACAAATAAAATAGGGCGATCATTCTGCTGTGATCAGTCTGTTTCCTAACAGGCACAGTTGTGGGAGGCTCACAGTGCTATCATCTTCTCTGTATGTCGCAAGTGCGGCGAGCAGGTTCATCGAATGGTTTCCAATCCTATTCCTCGACACCATGCCTCTCCAGTCCGTAACGTAGGCATCGTACCCAAAGCTAAGAATCCGGGCATTTGGTATTTTAGACGGAAGTAAACTTTGAGGCCAAGGGCAACCGCGTTCTTTGCCTTCTATGTCTTCTCACGATCTCCGGTCAGGCCGTGTACAAAAACGACGCTGCATCAAAGCCCAGTTAACCAAAATGTGCAAATGTCCGTTTACGACCAACTAATGGTCTCGCACTATGGACCGTTGACATAAACACTTACTCAACCGCGCTATTCCCACCGTCGTAGAACAGCTTGATACCGGAAGGAAAGGGTCTTCTTGATGGTGGTTGCAATACGGTCCAAACCCTTGGAGGGGTACTTTCGTTATCGCTGACATGTCGCTTGCGCGAACACCAAGGCCAGAGTACCATGTTAGGATGTGATTGGAGCGCGCTGGAATAATGGTTGGTGCACTATCTACAGAAAGAAAGGAGTATTCTCTGCGCAAAAGCTTAGTATATGGACGATTTTACGATATCCTCACGTGGGCATTTCAGGCGGGGTAGAAATGTCTAACTGGTAACTAATCAGCGCTGGGCCGACTAGGCCAAATGAAACACCTATCTCCGCAGTTACCGCTATGGGATTTGCTAGCGCAACCGCAGCGGATGCAGATCTCCAGAATACTTGTAAACTGGTAATGTAGATCCACTAAGAAGGCTCCTGTTTTGGTTCTACGCACGTATCGGGCGGCTTTGTCCTTCAAGGCAACTTTGCTGGCCTTACTATCAGTGAGTGCCTCCTATCTCCTGGTATCATGGCTTCGATACTGATGACGTCACAGGCTCGACGCTACCCCTCCAACCCAGCTTCACAGGCCAGTTCTCTCACTCCTTGCTGGAGCCGGTCAAAGCATACGTCTAACGTGATACCCTACGTGATAAGATTAGGACACAGCTCTGCTGTGATGCTGCTGACGAAAAAACGAAGACCCTCGTCGTGTGGGGACTTGGGGGCGCAGGGAAGACCTAACTGGTTCTCGACTACGTGCGATAATACAGAGGCGACTACAGAGCAACGTTCTGGATCGAGGCGGGGAGGAAGGAGTCCCTCGAGCGTGACTTCATCCACCTATATCAGACACTATTTGACGTGTATATGGTGACTGAGAAGGAGGCAATCAGTGTGGATAATGCTCTGGTCGGGATAAAGAGCTGGTTCTGTAGCTTACGAGGACCTTGGCTTATGGTGTTCGATGGTGCAGACACAATCGAGAACGAGGAGGCTAGCGAATACATTGACATAAGGCACTTCATTCCAGATGTTGCGTCTCTTAATGTTATCGTCACAAGTCGAAGCGGGGACGGCAAAGGACATGACGCGGCTAGAAGGTGTGGAAGTTGGCGAGATGGATGACTTGGAGGCTGAGGAGCTCTTCTATAGGTACTCCCGGCTAGAACGCAACGATAAAGGTATCGAAGTTGAGATCAAGGGTATTGTTAGGGAGCTGGGGCTCCTGGCATTGGCTATCAGTCTTGCGGCCACGTACGTATGGAGAACTCCGCGCTTGCAGTCCAACATCAAAGGATACCTGCCTGATTACCGACGGCGCCGGAATGAACTTCTTAGCCGCAAACCGGAGAGCCTTATCTATCAATATAGCGAAAGTGTTCTTGCCACGTGGGAGACGTCATACCACGCTATTGACGATCAGTGTCGGGAGGCAGCGGCTCTCATGACCATACTACCATTCTTGAGCTTCGACGATATTTTTCTGGAACTCCTGGGCGTCAATATACAGCCAGAAAGCAGTGGATCGACAGATGATGTTATTAGCACGACTTGGAGATCCATAATATCGCTAAAGAAGACCTTGAATCTTTCCAAGGTAGAAGAGTGCTTTGAGGTGTTACAGAGATACTCAATGGTGCAGTGGAAGAAAGATTAGTAGAGCTACAGGATGCACAAGCTAGTACATGCTTGGGGTCCATGATAGGCTTACGAGGGATGACCGGTGTAGATTTAGCCTTGCAATGTTTGGGCTTGTTGTGGAAGCGACCAAACAGTGTGGCCCAGCCCCAGAAGACAGACTTCGGCTGGTTCCGTATATGATGGCAAACTTCTCGACATTAGTCGGTGTTAGAGAGGATACACTCAATGGATTACAGACAGTAGGAGAGTTCGTCGTCGATCTTAGGCGATGGTCGGAAGGACGTGTGATCCAAAACTTCGTGCTGGAAAAGAGGAAGCATATCCTCGGCGAGGATCATCTAGACACAATCACGGCGAGAAATAACCTTGCAAGAACGCTCGGAAACCAAGGCCAGCTGGATGAGGCAGCAAGGATGCAAAAGGAAGTGCTGGAAAAGAGGAAGCGCATCTTTGGCGAGGATCATCCAGTCACAATCACGGCGAGAAATAACCTCGCCTGCACACTCGGAGCCCAAGGCCAGCTGAATGAGGCAGTAAGGATGAATAAGGAAGTGCTGGAAAAACTGAGGTGCATCCACGGCGAGGAGCATCCTGATACAATTACGGCAATGAGCAACCTCGCACATATGCTTGGCGACCAAGGCCAGCTGGATGAGGCAACAAGGATATATAAAGAAGTGCTCGAAAAGAGGAAGCGCATTCTCGGCGAGGAGCATCCTGATACAATCGCAGCAATGAGCAACCTCGCATATATGCTTGGAGACCAAGGTCGGCTAGATGAGGCGACAAGGATGTATAAAGAAGTGCTTGAGAAGAGGAAGCTTATCCTTGGCGAGGATCATCCAGACACAATCACGACAATGAATAACCTCGCAAGCATACTCGGAGACCAAGGCTAGCTGGACGACGCAATAGTGTTGTTGGAAATATCTTCGCAGAGAGCAAGGCGCATTCACGGTGAAAAACATCCCCTTACAAAGGTTGCTGTAAGCATTTTGGCTAGGCTTTCTACTGCCAGACCCCAAGCAGATTGTGTGACGGCGACGAAGGGCAAGAAGAAGCATATGAGAGATTCGCTCTGCGCTCGTGTCAAGGAGGGCTTCCGCAGAAAAGCTCTAACAAACGGGTTGCCTAGTGGCTTCTAAATTATATTTGGCCAAGTCAGCGGCAAGGCTGACTTGAATGTCGCTTTGGGCCAAAGGAGAATGCTTGTTGTCCAGAAACTAGCAACGTCACGTGGAGGACATCAGCGTGTTTGTCGAATGCAACAAGCATAGATGGATCCCCGAAGGCAGGATACACTGAGATTAGGTCATGTATGTGAGCTAGTTAGGGGCCTTTAGCAATTCAGAACTATTGTCTATCTTATTGGTGCATCCGTATAGTCCACTTCGCTACGTTTTATTAGCTGGTTGAAGCGATGACAAAATAGTTTGAGCCTTAAACAGTCTTAGCAGGTCACAGACTATTGCCACCTTTGGCTTCACATTTACCAGTTAATGAGTCGGCAAATCACTTAGAAAGCCCGTTCGAAAGCGCCGAGAAATCTTATTTGGACGCCTTACTTGATGGACTAAACCGCGCAACCGTTAGATGATAAGCTTTTTGCCTTAGTAGCCATGACATATAGCACCGGTGAACTATTAGCTTCATCCTGGCTACGCACTGAATGATGCCGTCGTCTTCTGCCGTTAGGATTTATTTTAAAGTCTTGCGTATCCGTTTGAAGCAAAGACTTGCAAAGTGTATTGAAAAGACTGAAGTGGCAAGTTAACGCTGGCGAGTGAGGATGGATTAGGTGCTTCGACTTGTATTTCCCCATAGAAACAATCAACCCCTCTGATATTAAAGCGGCCTGCCACTCAGAAGACGCTATCATCCTGTCCTCCGTACACTCTTTAGACTAAGCGCCAACCTAGAGCGGATGAGAAACCTGAGCGTACGCAAGGTCTTAATCTTTCCCATTGTGGGCCGAGCTTGTATCCAAATAAATACTAAGTGAAGGTTGCAACTGGGCAAGGCATGAGAAAGATTGTTAAGAAGTCGGTGAGTCTCCCAAGACCTCAGGGGTAGGAGCAACTCAGGGGTATCGCGTCCACTACGTCCTCCTTCAGCCAACCTCCGGAGCTCCGGCGACGGCCCCCGCCGCTGATTATGGCAAACGACCCTAGCAGTCGGGCACGCCTTAGACTGGATCCGACGGGAGAGCCTCCAAGTACACCGCCGGGCCAGATTCGTAGAATTCCCAGCCCTTCAGCGAGCGAGTCACCACCCAACGTGTACCCTAGTGGCCCAGCGGCTAGCCACCAATATACCACATTTATGGATGGCGACAACACATAGATAGCAATTCAGCCCGTTCCGAATATATAAGTCTTGGCTTCTCCATCCTATCAGGGAAGGCTAGAGTCAATTTACCATTCGAAAAGCCATGGTTCGGGCTTTGAGCCAACCATGTAACCAACCGTAGGTCTTGACCCGTTAGATACTACTCCCACTAGCGTCACAAGACAGATATTCTGGCGCGGCGTGAATCAGCCATGCTTGTGCTTCAGAATGAAGCATGCACCATGTTCAGGACGATAGAGCGCGATATGGTCAAGCTTTCCGCTATGATCATAGTCGAAGCTAAGGCTAAAATATTTTGTTCCTATTAGCGCTCATATTGTGGCATTCATGTATCTGAGTGAGGCGATGGGGGGACAAGCTCATTTAATGTTGAGTAGGCTCAGCTTTAGCCCCGCGTTCTTTGGGAGGACTTCGTGGAAGTTCTCAAGCCGTTGAGTGGCTACGTTAGGGATTAACGGAGGGGTGAGGAGATTTCTGGCGTTTAACGATTGGTCGCTGGGGTCTCTAGTCAGGGTACTTGGGGTCCAGAACAAGACGGCCGGGCTCAATGCAATCTCGGGGAATGGGGCGGTCGAGCAGAAGACTAGTGAGTGACATCATGTCTAGCGGCCGTATGGATATCTAATTAGTTGAATTATCTTGGTTTACAATCATCTAATAGTCCCAGGGTGTGTGACCCACTGTGCTGTGTATTATGCTAGATTTTTAACGTGCGAGATTGATTGATTGATTGGTTGATGGATGGATGGATGGATGGATGGATGGATGGATGGATGGATGGATGATGATAGTGTGAGTTCTTTTGTGTTCTAATTGGTGGGGGAGCAAAGGAAGTTGTCCAGGCCGATCTAGGCACTTGTTCGATGAGCAAAAATTACACAACTGTGTTAGTCAAAGCAGTTCTTTCTAAAATATCTGCGTCGCCGGTAATCCGATTCCTAAGGAGCGAATTACAGTTTAATTCAACCAAACCTTTGTAAGATTTCTCATCGCAACCGATCAGCAACCGCATGCGGTGTATTAGAAATTGCAAGATGGTCTCGCACCAATTAGATCTCCGAACCGACCGATCAGTTCAAGAAGGATCCTTGTGATGATTGGATAGACCCAGCTGAACAGGACAGCTATTATCAGGCGTCGTCGGAAAACGTGTGACACACTATCAAGCGGACATCGGTAGACTAACCATTTTGTATGATAAATATCTTTTAGAAGATATAGGTTAATACTAGTTGGGTACAGCAAGATTCGTATAGTAATAATGTAATTCCTGGCCCGACCGGAACGCCTATCAAAATTGCGTCCTACTAAATAACTTCAAGTAACTACTATTCTATCAAAGTGCTCGAGGTAACATCCATTCAGCCCTACCTTCGAGTTCCCCTAAGACCTACCTATTTTTCCAAGAATGCAGTGCCACATTATTCAAATTCTGAAGTAATGCGTTCCTCTGTGCAGGCGATAGGACAATAGGTCCTCTTGAGCCGGGATTCCCCGCTACGCCAACGATTCCTGTTGGAACGATTATACCTTTACTCAGTATGCGGGCAAATTTTCGAGTGGCAGAGAATATTCCAACTCCGAAACGACACACGCAGTATGGATAGTGTTCTGTCGATTCTTCGCAGAGTATATGTACGCAGCACATTTCTTGGATCGAGTAAATAGGCAGGCAGATCTTCTTGACCTTCCTTCTGGCCCTCAGAAGCGTTGATAGCACGTTGAAACACCATAAGTAACGGAGTTATGACCAACACTCTGGTTGATCCTACACATTGACATGAGCGGCGCGCTCCATGTTCGGCCTGCTAGGCCACGGAGGGCTTCGAGCGAAGTGCTGGCTTCGGCGGTCATTAACTTGCTGAACTATACATTAATAGGAAACTAACGACATACGGTAACATAGGACGTATGTTGTGCAGTATACCGTTGTCCAATGGGATATTCATTTAAAAAAACAGTTATCAAAGAGATCCCAGTGCTGAAAGCAACGCTGGTTACAGCTGTCCATAGAGGCAGTACAATCACCAGATGAACACCCACATCGCACCCACGCATTAAAACATACGGCGAGGCAATTGTTAAAGGGGTTAACACAACCCTGCCCCTTGAACGGTGCACATGTCTGCTGCCTTCCAGTAATCTCCCCCCACTACATTACCACCACTAGGAAGACCATAGGTGAATTCACCTAGAGCCCACAATAGAACGACGTAGGACACTGTTTTATGCCACATTTCTGCGCGTAAACCCTGTGAAATGAGTAATCGTCACGAAGACCGTGAATTCTTGCAAAAGAGGAGCAGCTCACTTTTCTTGTTTAAAGTATCAAGTGTCAGTGTCGTAGGAGTAGGGCAGGGTATAGCTTTAGGGAATCTTTCGGTGATAGATTGCGAGTTATATTTTATTTTCAGTAGTTTTTCCATTTGGGCCCGAGCTGCCCGAAGCGGCAACCCTCCCAGTCCCGGTTTAGCGCCCGCCCCCACTGCCCCCCGTTACGGTTTAGCGCTAGCCCAACACGGTTTAGCCTTTACGCTAATCCGCAACAGGCACGCTTATGCCTTCACCGCCTCGCGACTCAGCCGCCCGAATGTATAAATCCCAGGTGCGTCGCTCCATCGTCACCACCCACCCTCTTCATGTTTTTTCCATTCCTCCCCCCTTCCAAAACTCCCACATGCGTCCGGTTGGATCGACGATCCCGGGCTGATTGCGAGGCCCGGCCCACCTGAAGGATTTTATGGCGACATTGCATCCGGCCTCCACTCGCGCCGTCCCATGTAACCCCTCCATGATGCCGTGCGTCCCCCTTTTCCCCCGTGGACCCGGCTCATTCTGATGCTTTTCCCGGCCAGGCGTCTTTGTCGACAACAGTGCCTATATTCTACGCATTCGTATTCTATTTCACTCGCTGGAACGAGGTTTTGGCTTCTCCAATGCCTCCCTCGCCAAACGGTTCTCTCTTGAGCTTGTCCTAGTAACTGGTTGCGCGGCGGTCCCCGAGAACAGATGCTTTCGCTTTCTAGGGTCCATAAGCGCCCCGGAATCTGGAACAGAGCGATTCAGATGACGTGGCACGTCGCTGGCCCAAACATCCGAACCACTATCATTGGCCTGTCAACTATGGCCCGCACAGTTTTCAGGAATCTCAAGCCACCTCATCATCTTCAGCCTGCCTTGAGGGATGCGCCGTTTTTGCTATTGGTCCTGGATACGAGTCTTGTATATCCCAAGCGAACCGATAGCGGGCTCACTCGGGAGTGTGATGCGAGCTGACTGGCTATGAGCGTCTGATGAGGAATGGCCTCAAATCGGCTAACGGGATGATGGGTGAAGGCACACAGCGGCCCCTCAGTCAAAGCGGCAGCTTTATGCGTATCTGTTTCCTCATTCGGTCACCCCGGTGTGATTCCTGCATCTAGGCGGGTCTGGCGTGGGCAGTGCATATTTTGTTCTTGACAGCAAGAACCTGTTGGCCAATTGTGAATGACCGCAGGCAATTCTGTTACGCACCGAACCTTGGGGCACAGTCTTCTGATGTTGCATTTGGGGCGGAGCTGAACGAGGAAGCCCCCGTCTGGCTTGCCAGACTTCCGGAGGGTTGCGTGGCCGGGTAAGGGCTATGCGGGCACTGAGCAAATCAAATGGCATCTTTCCAGACTAGCCAAGGCGGTGGAAAGGTAGGCTAAGCCAAAAGCCTGCCTCGTTGCGCATCGTGTGTGCAAGAGACGCACGCTTTCCGGCAATGATTGGAAGTCAGCCCTGGAGGTTCCGAGCAGCTGTGGGAAGGAGAAGGAACAAGTAGTATGTACCGAGCGGCCCTAGGCTAGCCGATGTTGTCCACTGGCCTGGGCTTGGACTCCTGTTCGGGTAGCGTCCCCGGAGGTCTTTTTTTTGGAGCTGATTGGATCTCCTATAAAAACAAGTCCTTTCCACCGTGTGCCCGGGTCAGTCTGGCAGTCTCATGGTAACAAATTTACTCTTTTTCGCTTTGTTTATCTCTCTATGCCTTTCCCCTCAGGATCTGAGACCATGCCTGTCATCCTTGATAATATACAATTCTATCATGGCCCATCAAGGCTAGCAAAACCGCCATATTTTGCCTTTAATAGCAACCAGAAAGGCTCTAATACCTTGCTATCGGGCGAGCAACCCACATTCTCCAATGAACCGGTCTCTTCGGCAGCAGATGACTCGACAATAGTCCCAACTTGCTTCATTCCTCCGGCTGCCAACGCAGAAGATATAACGCATCAGCATGCGGTGGGGTCGCCTAACTTATTTGACTTCGAACTGCCGAGGTCCTGGGGTACACTTGAAGCTACTCACAGAGATGCCTGTCCCTCATTACAGAGGCTTAGCTGTCACTGCCGAGATAACCCAGACGAAGAGATGCTTGGCGACTGTAAGTTTAAGAAGGCCTGAGCCAGCCTGCTTTCCAAATTATTAATCAATTTTGGAATATAGCCCTATCCTCCTTCGGTGCAGATTCAAGCAAAAGCGCGGGGTGGGACGGTTCAGACGTCTTCCCGAGATCCTAATCAAAATGCACAACCACAACTCCTCTACAGCCTCCACAGTTCCCCTCTATCCCAGTTCTTTCACCGGAGGCTGCAATCTCGCACCCTGGGGTTATGCAATCGCATGTGCCGGAAGATGTTCAGTGGACACAAAATCAACCTTTATACCGCGCGTACATTGAATCCTTTAGCCCTGCTTATGCTTGGGATATGTCCGATGTGTCTACTGCATTTGGTCAATATTCTTCCAACACTCCGCTCTCTTCTATCTTATCCTGCTCAGATGTTGCCTTCAACAATCGAAACGACATAAGCTCCTGCATTCCTTCACCGGAGCCGGAGGATTGTCCCGATAACCATTCGGATAACTATGAAGCAAGCCAAGCTAGATTGATTTCAGATTATTCCCCTAGAACCGTGGATGAGCTAAGTCCTTCTGGATCAGCCGATTTGCTGCACGTTAACGTGCCCGATTTGATGGATCTCGAACAAGCCGACGGGCGCGAGTCTGGTAATTCTCATTCGAGAACACCTAGCATTCAGGGCGACAAGAACCCTATTTTGGCTAATCTGAGAAAATGCAAAAAAAATGAACGTCTAACGCCTCGGACCAGAAAACAAGACACGACTCGTAACGAGTGCTACCCATCTGTCGCAGTAGTTATTCCTCCGCCACGGCCGAGACCTGTACGGAGTCTACGCTCAAGGCCAAAACCTGTTGCATTAGATGCATGTGACAGCGGAAGTAGCGAGGACGTTGATGATTCCTCGGACGAAGACTTCATGACCGATACGATCCAAACAGAACTTCCCCACGTTGAGGACTCCGTGGAGGAGAAACACGGTCCTCCAAGTACGACCGCTTCTTACTATCCCAGCGAAATGTCCTTTGGTTCATCGACTAGGTATTGCTGCGATAGCCGCGATATTGTTGGGCGGGCAATTCTCACCATTGAGACCCGGGGATCGGAGCCCACTTTCTTCTTCACTCTCGTGCCCGATAACGTCCGCTCAACATCATATGTTCCCGCGCACAGTCCTCCCCGCAGCTCGAAGAAAGCAGGTAGGGTTTCAAAGCGGTCAACGAGCATAAGCCGTTCAACTTGCAGGAAAAGTAAATGCCGGCCCTATTCAACCGACGAGAATGACTTGTTGGTGAGGTTGAAAGAGGAAGGGCGGTTAACATAGAAGGAAATCGCGGACCATTTTCCTGGCCGCAAGTTGTCTGCGCTGCAGGTTCACTATTCAACTAAGTTAAGGCACCAAATAGCCAAGAGAAGCCGCCCGCAAAGTCGGAGGCGCAAAAAGAAATGATAAAAATGCATATTGCTATGGAAGCTATCACAATCAAAAAGCATCCGTCGTCTTTATATCCAATGCCGCTCCCACTAAGCTAGTAGTTATCCGGCGATACTGTCCGTGACCGACGTATATCCTTCCGGCTTTCCAATCATAGGTGGAATCACCCACATGATATAGTCGTCAAGCTCTCGCGAAAGGTCCTAGATAGAAGAACACTGTGGGTCCGTCTTTATGCGCAAGCTCACGAGTTTGGGATTTGTCGTTGCTAATGTTGAGGTGTACAAAATTCAGTGATAGGATACCCTAAGAAGAAAAGGGCGAATGAGTGGATTGGCGACCGTCCTTTTCTTCCTTCCCATCCTGGAGTATTGGCATTAGGAAGGGACCCTAAATGTGTTCGTAAGGAGTTAGAAGGTGAGCCGAGAAAACGAGTCACTCACCCAACTACAAACCTGCTTGGGCGAGGCTTATGTGGGGCAGATAGTCGGGTGGCTGTCGCCCGGGTGAGAAGTGGGTGAGCGCCGCTTTACGGTCGCGCGACCGGGGTGAGATAGGGTGAGTGCGCAATAGACAGGGTGAGAAGCTGGGTGAGAGCGGGTGATTCTCACCCCCCGTCGCGCGACCACCGCACTGACCCTCTCAGCTGAACTCAAGTAATAACATCATTGGTTCACATCGATCTGGCTGAAACCGTAGTCTCATGGCACTTGCATATACCACCAAATCAAACCAGGATTGGCCAAATCAACGGCGAGGCTGACTTCAAGGTCGCCTTGGGCCCAAGTTGCGTGCTCAGTACCCAGACGACACCAACATCCAGAATTCCAAATATGTAACCCATAACATGATGTAGCATGTACGGCATAAATAAATCCGCGGTGTGACCAGTCCACATCACGTGGCACCAACCGCATCGGATACCTTCGTCCAGCCTCTGAGACCGATCATTATTGCACCCCTTTGGGTGGTTGTGGGGCATGAGAGTCTGGAACACTTGTTTGTGCACAATGTGTCTACACGATTATTAGAAAACGGCCGGCTGCTGGCGTCCGGCTCTGGTGATATGACAGTGCGGCTCTGGGACACAGCAACGGGCGGTCTGCAGCAGACCCTCGAGGGCCATTCAGACCCGGTTGATTCGGTGGCGTTCTCGCCCGACGGCCGGCTGCTGGCGTCCGGCTCTTACGATAAGACAGTGCGGCTCTGGGACACGGCGACAGGCGGTCTAAGCAGGCAGACCTTGAAAGCCACGGGAATGGCCACCAAACTCGAAATTTATCAAGATGGTTCATATCTAATCACCAACTTAGGCATCCTCGATGTCCACTTCGGGCACGTACATCATGCTTCTAGTTCAACCTATAGGGATCTGGCAATTTTCATTAAGCAGGGAAAGTGGATAAACCTTAACGGCAAGACTATACTATGGCTTCCTCCTGACTCTCGGCCTGCCTGTTTTGCAACTAATGGGGACTTACTTGTCTTGAGACACGCATTAGGGCGGATTTCGTTCCTACGATTTTGCCTATAGAAGGCCCTATTGATTTGCTTAGCCATTCCATTCCTCTATTTCCCAATCTCTTTATACATTCAATCCCCTTCAATACGCCCAATTACGAGACCTGTTATATTCTTGGGTCACCACCTATACTCCACTTTTCCTTTCGTCTTATGTTTATGGACAGCCTAGTGACCTCACCACAATAACTGGTCAGCTTCAACTCTCCTTTTCGCCACGTCTCGGGTACTATACGATCAACAGTCATGTTCAACTTACTAGTACCAATGCGACCTTTCGAGTCGTGCCTCCCCCCAACCGGCTCTAAGATACCTGATTCGCAACCGGGGTATTTTCCCCCTTAGAAGCATACATTCAGATACCCGACTACGACTGCGTTTGAATCCCTCTGAGTGCTCGACGTCTACATCCCGCCCTAAGGTTGCTATTTCAAGAGTGTCCCGGCTTCGGTCCTACGGCAATCGACACGTTAAACGAGCCTGTATCGAGTGTAGACAGCAGAAAGCGAAATACAATGGACATCGGCTGTGCAGTCGATACACTACCTTGGGAACATCCTGCGCCTACGTCACGGGGAAAAGAGAGACAATAGAGAAACGGCTACAAGATCTAGAAGAACAAGTTCAAGCTTACAATCGGCTTCTGAAAGAGATACAACCGCGTGCGGATATCCACAACAGAGAGCTTATTGCCAGGACAAGGGCCGAAGTCCGTTGCACTTATTTTCTGACTCTCTGATCCTTTAATGACCCGCCGCTAATATTTGAGTATAGAACAGTATTCTGGCCTCGATCCATGTTATCCGAACTCTGAAGATACGACCCATGGTTCTACCCTCGTTCGTATCCGTTCCTTCGGTATTGAGTATATCAAGGAAGATTTCCACAAGCACAAAGGCTTGCAGCCAATCGGTTACATAGGCGGTCCGTCGGAGATGTCGTCGATTAATAAGCTATATCAGGCTCTGGACAAAGACACACCCTTTCTCGATACCGAAGGATCGAATAAGCCCAGTCCTTGACATTAGTCTGTTATTTCCTTAACGATGAAGAGCTGGTTCTGGATGCGAAAATGACCCTCTCAGCAGAACATACAAGTACAAATTATTGCCCTTTTATCCTTTCTCTATTAACGGCTCGCGCTGTTGGCATCTGCACTTAGCTACCGTAGATAGTCAAATAGTAGTAGATTTAATTTGATTACGACTTACTTATAGCCTTAATTGATTTTCGAGAAAGTTAGCCAATCTGATTGCGGCAAGGAGCCGGAGTGGGTCTCTTGGTCAGTTCTTTGTTTGCTACGCACAGTAGTGCACGGTACTTTTTCAAGCAAACAAAGAAAGGATCGAGTGTAAAGAAGAAGCTGAAAATTCTGCCTTCCTGTTGCTCCTGATTTCTTTATATTTTCACTGGTCTTTTCAGCAGATTTTCTCAGACCTAGCTCACTCGCGAAATTCACCTATTTTCATTTCAGACACTGTCTTCGATCCACAATAGGGAAGATCAAGACCTTGCGCACCCTTCTTCCGGCGGATAAAAAGCATATATTGCAGTCCTCGGAAGCTGAATCGTCTAAAGAATTAAGACGTAACATTTCTCTTGCTTGCACGGCGTGTTAGAGAAAGAAGACTAAGGTTTGAACCCGGGAACACAACTGTTGAGTCTGACAGCAGAGCTAACATTATATCCTGGAAGCAGTGCTCTGGAACAACGCCTTGCACAAGATGTGCAACCTGTGCACAAGAGTGTCTCTATGATCAAACTAGTGATCGTAGACGCAAGGAGTACACGGCTAGGCTGTTGAAATTCCATACTACTCTTTGTTAACTGGTTGCAACCCTGCGCTCGGCAACTCCTGATAAGCTACCGTGGTTAGTCTGGCAGGTCCAAAGCTTGCCAACAGATCAACAGGCAGTCGATTACCTTGTTCAGATGTTGGGTTAATACATATGGACGGACTACTACAGCGACGAGGGAAGTTAGCAGTACTGTCTGTGGAGTTCCGCATTATGTTTCGAGAACAGAAGATCGATTTAAGGGGTCTAACGAACTTACATCGAGTTAGATTAAAGTGTTGCCTTCTCAATACATATTTGCCTGTACGTCTCCAATAATGTGTGCTGCTTTGTGAACACGATTTCTTGTCCTTAGCGTTGGCTTTCCGATATTTAACCGTAATGAGACTAGGAGAAATATATACATTTATATATAATGTGCTGCTCATGAGCATTTGCGTTAGCGAACGGTTTCTTTCAGAAGTAGATAACCTTGATGAATCATCAAATGAAAGTTACACAGAATCATAAGCGGGCAAGTCTCAGAGGCCTAGATCCTGCTACACAGGAACGAGGACTTCATAACAAACACATAGTCAGCCCAATAACACAAACTTACAGAACGGGAGAATATAACTCACTTATCACATCAACTAGAAGAATCTTTGCGCTTCCGACGCTTATCGCGTACGTAGATCCCTTTGTGTTTACCTTCTCGGGGAGGATATCGGATGACATAAAATTGGGGCAAGGCAGAGACCAGATCGCTGATTTTGGAATATCCGTAGGTACGAGAGTCGAAGTCGGGGTGTTTTTTTGTCAGCAAATTGCCGATATTAGAGAGCTCAGCCTATCCATTATCATCGGAGGCGGTTTCTATCGTCGTATGTAGCAGATTCATGAAGTCGATGTCTTCTTCAGAATGGAGAAATGCAGTTGTGAGGCCGAGGAAGCTCTGATTGCCTATGAAGCCTCTTCGATGACCCGCGATGCCGTCCCACAGGAAACAACAGACCAAACTGATACTTCCCTTAGGAAGGACCTATCATGTGACTCCTGTGATGTGCGATCAACGAAACGCAGATTATCGCATAGCGGAGGCGTCTCTTTTGAGCTTAGATAATCAGAAAGATTGGCCAAAAGAGTTAGAATATAACGGCGATGGCCCTTTCTTCGTGTATTCATTATTTGTAAACTATTATCTTCCCATTCTTAAAGCCCGCCTCTTCCGCTGTCCCTCCATCGTTAGGAAATATCTTTCTAAATTGGTTGATAATCGCCAACGACCGTGCAAACTGGACACTATTTTACGCTAGAATCCAGACGCCTAATAAGTCGGTTTCCCGGTTTTAGTAAGGAAAAGGATGCCTTACTAATAATATTCAATGTTTTGCAAAAGATAACGGCGACTGTAACCTCCATAGAAGGCTTGAGCAAAGTATACGGTCGGTGCTCCAGTGGGACTCTAGGCGTTTAGACAATTCCACCAATTGGGCACCGAGATCTGTTGTTAAGAGTTGGCAAACCCTAAGGGTGCTTAGTCTATTTACATCATACTGTACGCTTTCGATGTGAGCCTCGCGCCAATGCATGAACTTTCACCTCGTTATCTTGGCCAGCGGCCACGTTGGTTGGCGAGTCACTGCGAATCACTCCCGGCTGCAGCTCTGCTTGGTCAACCCTGGCCAGCCATATCAGCCTTTGGCCCCTGACACCAGGGAGAGCCAGTAGCTTAGCAGCACGTGTTGCAACTGTGACCTAGAAGGCGGGGTAGCTATACTGGGTTTGCGAAGCAAGCTCCCAGCCAGTTATTTGCCGCCAAGCCTGTTACAGATGATATTACTACAAAACTACTACCTTACCAAAAAAGAGAAGTGAACGGCACGACTATAAGAATGAGATCCTGACTGATCTCTAGGCTCCAGCTTATTTCTCTCTCTTTTCTGAATCAACACAAACATTTACACCACGCCACGCCACTTCGTCAAGTCGTGAGCATCCCTCCCTACGAGCAAGCCAGTCTCGTAGCTAATCCTTTTAGAAATCTTAAAATGTGTCAAATCTGGGTTACTACCACTATATTCGCTTGCGGAGACCGAGAAGTGAGACGAGAACTGCATCCATGCTCTGAGAATCATGCTGAGCCCTGGCCGGAAGTGCCTATAGGAAGTTCTTATAACCGGCGGGATAAATGCTCGAAATGCCGAGGAGCTTTAAACGGCTATTAACACGAGCACCTGTAAGTATCTCCTAGTATAGGTACGGTAATTAGCCGTTGACATGATAAATAGGCAGAACTTTCGCGACTCTCGTCTGGGCTAAGCTGGGTTATATAGATAATGACACCATCAATAGAAATGAAGCTAGGAAAATATATCTCCAGCACCCGTCCTGAAATCTTAGTTATACATCACACTCCTTCAATTTCAAGGCAAGCTGTAATAAGAAAACCGTAGATCTGTATCTAGATCTATCTCGTATCGTTCGGCCAGGACTTTCAATTGCTCCTTTGAAAGAATCCCTTCGAGAACGTATCCTTAGAGAAGAGTTAGCGGACAGGTGAGTTTATTTAGAATCTAGCAAGGGGCTTCCCTACTAAATTTATCTTTTCGGTATTTTTTCCAATCCATAACCTGAGTCTTCAGATCTTCGAGATCACAGAGTACCCCAGTGCTTTCAGCATAATGATTTATTTAGGAATCAATACAAGTTAGATGATGTACTATATCTGACGTGCGGCCGTAATTTCCGAGCCAAGCTGTCTGGATGACTTCATCAATGCCTTGATTCCCCGATTTCAATTCAGGCAAAGCTAGCCTCCTATTCTCAAGTGACAGTTCAGGGGTGAATCCGTGCTCTATATAAAACATGAGCGAAGCTAGTGCAAACATGTCGGATGCCTCGGACAAAATCGGCGAGGGGCTATTGACCGGAAGTAGGAGATCTGGAAAGACCGGGTTGGGTTGGCCACAAGGGCTGGCAGCGCTGAAATCACAAAGAATTGCCGAAAACCGATCATCAAAAAGCACATTATCAACCCTTATATCCCCGTGCACAATACCAAGGCTGTGGAGGTAGCGCAGAGCATCAGCAATATCGCGGTATAATCTGATCCGGCGGGATTGTGTTAATTTCACATCTGCAGGTAGTTATCGATATTTGCGTAGATATAATCCCTCCGGCTGATCTGTATCTATGGCTTCTATGATATAGGGATGTGGTCTATTTTGGAGCTGCTGCAAGACCGTTCGTTTATCTTTCAATAAATTGAAATGAAATAGCGTGTCCGAAGCATAATACCAAAGGTCGCTTCGAGAGGCATCACCGCTAGGTGGTGCGAAAATTCGATAAGTTTTCAGTACAATTTTGTCGCTAACATTGTAGACCTAGCCAGAAGCCCCGACGCCCAAGATATCCAGGTCGTACTGAGGTTGTAAACGCATAGTGTAGGTTTTATATATCGTAGGGCCTTCTCGGGTGTCGAAAGGGACGTTGGACTCGAGATCGTTCGGGCTTTTGTTTGTATATGTGGGCTTCCCTATGAAAAGGGAGATTATGCGGGAGAAAAAGCCAAACGGCTGTAATATGAAGTGTAGGAGCGATTGCTGTAGGTACAAAAACCGGTTGACTATGTATGAGAACATGTCGAAGGTGCCCTTGATTGGGGAAAGGAACGCACGCTATTTAAAGGGGAGCGCGAACAATATTGGGGGCATAATGCACTTCCCCAAATTTGTGATTATGTGATAGTTATAGCTTCTTAGTCATCAGCGCGACCTTTCGCCCGGCCTTTCCTTTTTTGATTTCTGTTTATCTGTGTTGCGTCACTAAAGCACGACTGCCTACGTCGGTTCAGCCGGCCCCGAGCACGTACCGAAGTGCTTAGCAAAAATTTGTGGGCGGTCTCCCAGGATATTGCAGTCACCAAGGCGCCGAAGTTTATGCCAGGACTCTAAAACAGCGTCGCAGGATCGGTCGCGGAGGAAAAGAGAAAGTAAATGCAGGCGTCGAAGGAGCAATTTGCTGACTCTCGTCTAACGATTAAAACAGCAACTCGCGAATAAACGCCTATGAATAAGATATTTTTTGGTTTGTGAATATTTTAATACCCTCCTAGGCTTATACCGTTTCTATATCTCTCATAAGATGATTGCTCGAATATTTTGATCTCACAATCGACAAATACCCAATTGCACCTCAAGTCGGATGATAGTTATTCCGCGGAGGGACACGACGTCGGGCATCTATCCCACTTCCTTCTTACCCCACCTGGAGACTGTCGTCACATCTTATATCTGATCTTTTCTTCTCATCCTTAATAAGGTGAACAATACCCGAATTACGTTTCCCGCAATCAAGAAACTAATCAGACATTGCTCTGTTATAGCGTATTACCCTTCGTTCAGTGGCGTTTAGCTATGGCTTCGACCAAAATCGACGACGCTGCCTTGGAAGAATTGAGAAAGTTGGCCTCCTGGGTCAGCTAAAGCGCTAAGATAGAAGCAGATAAAGTGAAACGAAATGTCATGGTCTGTGTGGACAAAGCTCGCGAAGCCAATGTGCGACCATTATTGGAGAAGTTAGGATATGCCAACATACAAGTAAGAGCCGTGTTCTGTTAGAAACGTGACAGTATAACTGAAATGAACATAGGGCTATCTCGCCTCGCTCTAACAAAGACGCGGAGAGTCTACGATTGACAAACCCGATGATAATCGATCGCTCTTGCTGTTTCCCCTGTCGATTGGATCCGAGAATAATGAATCTGGAAGTATTCAGGTTGAAGGCCAAACCCTTCGCCCTAGAAGCTATATTAAGCTTACGGAAACCTTGAAGCTGGATGCGAGTACAGATCTCGATTGTCTCATTGTTATGTTACCGTAGGCTGATGTGAGGAGGAGGGATAGGGGAGGGGCGCAAGAGGGGTTATTCCTATTTATTGTACAAATTTCCAGGCTTCCATCTGTATCTAAGGAGTCCTAGCGTGCATTATATACCCAACTTGTATTCTTGCTACTTGCGATCTCACTCTTTCAGATTCTTTTGTTATCAACGCAGAATAGCTCGATCTGTAGCCCGAGTACTTCCGAGCGAGAAGGCATTTTGACGTTAAGGAGGGTAAGGGAGCTTATAACTCAGGCGTCCGATAATGAAGTCGGTTCGACAGTGAGTTGATCTGTGTCGCTAGCTCACCGAGCTATTACCTAACTCAATGTTCTAGCAGGCTCTCTAAGTTAGGAATCGGGGCATATACTGAACCAAGCATTGCTTAACTCAAAGTTATCGTTCTGAGCTACGGAATTTTGAATCTGGGGATTTAAGTATGTAGTGAACCACGCCTCGCCTATACCAACAGTTCCACCCTGAGCGCCAGTTTCGTCAGGCCGAGAGTTAGAGTATGTACTGAACCAGGTATTGCTTAAATCAATATTCTCTGCCTGGGCTATAGACCCTTCCAGTGAATACGTGCTAAACTATACGGCACTTGATTCAAGATTTTCACTCTGTGATATAGGTTCGTCCAGCCGGGGTTCAAGTGAGAGGATTTGGCAGGGTATATGAACTCGCTAGCCAGGAAGAGCTTCTAATAACCCTTGACTATCGTTTTTAAGGAAAGTATCCCTCGGACGTACTATATCTCTAAGTTAGCAGAGATAGTTAGTTGTGAGGTGGCTGCGTACATGAATCCCCTCTACTGAGTTCCTGTAGAGCAGCTTGTTCGGGCGCTGAACTTGGATTCGTGTTTGTGTCGGAATGAGGTACTTGGATAGACGTGTTTTGCTTTGTGTAGGCATCGACGGGTTCAGGTTGAGGAAGTTCCATAGCACTCTCAGTCGAAGTATTACGTCTATCAAGTTGGCTGACAGCTATAGAAATTGACAACGTATTTGATCTACCAGGAGGGCCTGGTATAACGTTTGAGCCGAGATCCGCTGTAGGTACCTGACTAGCTGTATTCAGTAATGGAGCAAAATTATTTGTAGGATCTGTGCGGTGTAAATGACTAACACCTAGAGATCGAGTGTTTCTAAAGTCCCGCTAAGGTATTTTACGCTGTTTACCCTCGTTTTGGTTGATTTCTGGAGCAGCATTAGGATTTCTAGATATTGGATGCAAAAATTCAACCGTCCTACCTTGCACCTTCGCCCCTCTCTTCCTCTTGTTCCTCAGTGCCGACTTTGTTGGACGTCGCTTGAGCGAGCCTTCTGTCTCTTGGGAACTTGCCTAAAGCTCGTCAGCTATCTTTTTCCCTAACACACCGAGGCCATTGCTTGTGACAGCATTGTTAATGCCATTTTCACGGAGACTATCGACAGCGGAAGAGAAATATCGGGAAAATTCCCTGCTAGTGTATCTTGACATAGTTTAGCATGCAATTTCATGTGGCGAGGAAAAGAATATAATATACTAGTATTCTGTGACCGTCAAAGGTAATATAAGCAAGTACCCGGGTCCGCCTAACTCTTCGGCCCACCTGTTGTACGCACGACCAAGCCGAACGTACTCTTCAAGCAGTTCATCTGTATCTAAGGAAGGATGCTTTTGTTTTATCTGCGCTGCGAGCTGCGGACAAGTATCCCTACGCCATCTGTCTCCAGTATGATACCTAAGTCCTTTTGCCAAAAGGAAGAGGTTCCGGAATTCAAGCCGTCGATATAGGAGATACATTTGAAGATAGATGTCACGAGTCTTCTCATCTTGAATATCGTCGCATTTTTGGTAAAGACGGAAAAATACACCTGTCAATCCACCTAGGGCTTACCCTTTAATATAATGACTTAACTTCAAAAAGGATTGTGGGTTTCCCTGATGTTTGATGAGGGCGTTGTGTAGGCTAGTCGATATTGAAAGGGGGCGATAGAGGTCGATTCTTTGATCAGGGTTACTAGACTTGCGATAGGACTGATAATATTCGACGGTACCGCCATAGTCGGAATAGAAGGCCTTATTTGGTGTATCGTTGTCGTTAATTAGTGACGTATTCTCGCCGCGGTCGCTAGGTGGGCATAGGTCTTCACGATGATTGTTGACCGCCGCTGGGCTCTCGTGATGGCAGTTAAGTGCAGCATTATCTTTGTCAGTTGGTATATAAATAGGCTGTTTTTGTAGACGTGTGCCTATTATGAGGAGTCTTAAGAAAACTAGCAAACTAGGCGCTGGCAGACTCTGAACAAATTTGGTGCATTGTTCAGGAGTTAGTTTTGTCTCTACCTCGTTAAGAACGAGCCCAATTCTCTCGAACAGGTCATTAAGCTCTGCTGCAAGTAGACCCGTAGTGTCTTCCATTCTTGATGGTTGGGAGAAACCCAGGCTAGGCCTGAGGACATCTCATCTTACCTTAACATCTTTCCAGTCTCGTGAACTCTCCTGCAGGACAGCCAATCATATTCGACCGACTAGCGTGGATACGTACCATCTCACGCTTATACAGTCAGTATCACCTCCCCATAAATCGGGCAAGGATAGGCAGCATTTACGTGTATAGGGAGACTAGATCCTTTATCCAGAAGGTGATTCGCATTTTCCAAGTACATATAAACCCTATAATCAACCTTCCTCGTCCCCTTCTCTTCCAAATCCCTGGACTTCGACCTCTGTGCATTGTCACTTTCTTAGGTACGTCCAAGCTTTCAAACATCTCGACTCCCCAATCAGAGAGCTGGTGGACCCGGTCTCTTCTAACTGCTCACCCAAAATGAATCTTTCTATATCGGTGGCACCAGCAACAGAACCCCAATCTATCATATGTCGCTCTCGGTGCTCTTTAGTCACTTTAAGTGAGATCGAAGAGAATCCGGGCCTTAACTGTAGATTTTGGCCCCTTTCTACCCTTACCGCACGGCAACTAAGACCATCTGTTTTGGGCAGACGTGACCTCCTGCACTAGCTCGTCTTGCCCGTTGAGAGAACGGGGGCTTAACTGTAGATTTTGGCCCCTTTCTACGCTTAGCACATCACCGCACAGACAACGCCCCACTTAGGTGTTGGTGGCTTCCTTACTAAACTCTGGTTTGTCCAGGCTTCAACCCAATAATAGTCTCGTGGCAAAAGATTGAATATGTTGTATACGGTGGCAACAGTCGTATCTTGTACCGATCGCAATCTTCTCTGTGGCCAGTCGGAATTACCCAATGATCTCGTTCAAGAAGAGTAGGGATTTATTGATCCCAATTTTTTTTGTAAAATACCGTCCACGATGGAAGTGAGCCCTTCTGCCAGGAGGGCTTGAAGGCCTGGACCTGGAAAACAAAAGATGTTAGGCCAAAATGGGAAAAGAGACATATTGGCAAATACTTGTTTATAATAGACCTCGATGTGTTTCAGTCTAAACAATTTCTCCAAACCGTCGTTTCTTCTTCCTCCCGCACCCGTTGATTTGTATTTTGGGGCTGAAGTGCACCTTGTGGATTATCCTCACCCTGTACACCTGGACAGAAGTGATCTGCTATTGCTATCGTGCTGAAGAGTTTGAGCAATTGGATTAATAAAAAGACTGAGAGTAAATTCTTTTTTATAAACTGTTGTTGGGCGCTTCTCCTGCGGCGAGTTACTACGTTGCTCTGGTTATACTCGCTCTGAATTGGCATGCATCTCTCTCTTTTCATCACGGTAGCGAAGCGAAATGGACATCCAAAGCTTAGAGCCGCATGGTCTGGTCGATTACCAGACGGGGATTTCGGAGGAGCACATCCTTAGCAGTAGGTGTTCTCTTCTCCCTCCATAATTCTACGTGCTTTTGCCGTAAGCTTTTGGTTCTAACAAAGTGAGTCTTCAGTTCTTGATCAGTGCTAGGATTCAATGCATAATGTAGAAAATCACAATTGAGTACGTCAACTAACTATCAAAAGAGCAAAAGCTCGGTTCTATTCATCCTTCCAGACACACGAAAGCTCAAGAGATATAAAATACTCATCATGCTCTGCACTGCCCTCTGAGTAACACAGCGGAAGATAAAAAGACCTCTTCCCAGTATGATAAGTTTTACAGGAACACACAGGGATGGCCTATAACTACGGATATACCAGTAACTCCGATGGCTGGCCGATGTGGACCACCAATATACCAGCTTACCGGTCTGAGTTTATACAACTGTACCAGGGGGCACCACAGAACCAACGGAATCAACATCAACCCCGTCAGCTTCAAGATCAGCGACTGGCACAACAGATACAATGGCAGGGGCTTCAGAGTGAGCCACCGTTCGCGGCGTTTGAGCCCATGAGCTTATTATACAGCTCTAATCGCCAAGACAGAGGGCAGAGCGCCGCCGCTTACAATTACCCACAGTATATACCACTCCAAAGTAGTGAAGCCCTTCCGGAACCAACATTTGCTCTACCGTATAGCGTCAGTAGTACAACACAATTGGAGCTGACCCCAGTTCATGCTCAGGTACAGGTCCTGGAACAGCGGGATGAGAAAGAGCCGTTCAGAAGCCTTGAGGAGGAATATGCACAATATGGAATTTCGTTGTGCACAGTCTTTGATCACATCCGCCAGGGGAGACTGATCGACGCAAGCCGACTGCTTCTGGAAATCTCAAAATAGCTTGTAAATAACTTACAGGGACTCGGTGGGTTTCACTGCACTCAGTCCCGGCCGATAGCTTATTTTGTGATAAATAGGATTCCTATACGCCGACCGTGCAGACCTTCTACCACTCTGGAACGACTTCAACAACTGCTGGCTGGCACTTTTCCAGAAACAGTTGGATATGAAGCATGACTTAGTTGCAACCAAGTATATACCAACAAAGCATAGTCTATTGACCTTGGACCGCATAGAAGCTATGGGCAGCGAGCTCATCCAGCTTTGTGACCAGTTAGAGTCGCATGGACTGGTCGATTATCAGATGGGGATTCTGGAGGAGGATATCCTTAGCAGTAGGTGTTTTCTTTTCCCTCCATCGTTTTACGTGCTTTTACCGTAAGCTTCTGGTGCTAACAAAGTGAGTTTTCAGTCCTTGGGCAGTGCTTGGATTCAATAGAACAACCACATCGTGCCCAAACGAACGCCGGGATGACCAGAAGGAGCTAACGGAGCCCTTTATTCTCGCTCCCACATCCCATATAGAAGTTTTTGTATTTCTTTTGGAAATGATAATAGAAGTTGTTTTCAGCTAACACTCGGGAGTTTTGGGAATAATGTTTCTGCAATTCCGAGGGTCTGTCCGGGGGTCTGTCGATGAGAAAATCGTTACAGAGGGTTCTTTTGATACGTATTTTAGAGTGTTGTGCCATCGAAAAGATTGTATAAAGAGTGTATTTGAGCTGAGGCAAACTTGTTGTGGAAATTCAGCGGATTCCGAACGAGGCCGCCGGAGAATGCTAGCGCTGGGCCCCAATCATTGTTATGACTACTTTCTTACTCATATCTGCCGTGGAGGAAATTGACTGGTTCAACTGTAGCATAGTATAAGCAGTTCCCTAGCTCCTCCCTCTCTTAGCACCAATGTCGTCCCTTTTCTTTCTCAGGATTGAGCCAACCTGAATTGATTAGTCTTTAATACTCCACACAAACATTACAACATGGATGGTCTGTTGGCACTACGGATTCTATAATTATAGGCTTGTGGGATATAGTCAGCTGCAAGCCACATTGCCATGCCAGGATATGGTCAAGGAAGTAGTGCTATCTCTCCGATCGCGGCGATGAAGTGTCTGGGTCCATGCTGGATGGACCGGGGAATCGCGTGACGCGTAGATAAAAGTATTTGAAAGATGGCATCCAAAAGAGTGATGTATGCACTCATTTGCAATTGCGGCATTTCATAGGAGCACTTTCTCCCATGCTACAGGTTTTCATTGTAGCAGTAAAGATTAAATAAATGGCATCGGCTATAAAGAGTGTCCATCCTGTACTCGTCTATCAGTACAAGCGTTCATCTACTCCTGTCTTCAATTCCTTCTCTCATCATCACATCAAACGTTCTCTTATCTCTACCATCACCATACTTGAAAGACTAAAATGGCGGAGCCCACTAAATCTCCTGAGAATCCTCTCCAATGCTCTTCTCTCTTCGAGAACCTCGAAAATTCACGATGGGATGATATGATATCCGCAATTAAGTCAGATATTTTCTCTAAGACTCGTGGTTCACACAATGCACTCCATTATTGTTTTGAGAAACTGGAAAACCAGGATACATCATCTTTAATTAAAGCGGCAATCGACACGGCCTTCAGGAGTCCGTTGCTACGACAAAAAATTGTGAAGGAATAGAACCTGTACCAGAATTACGATGATGCTAAACGCCATGAGCTTGAGATGAGGAAAGACGCCCCTTACGATCTCGCCTCATGGTCTATCGAACATTGTCCGTCGTGTTTCAACGGCCTTCTGGATTATAACATGGTCCCGCCCTCCTCATTTTCCCAAAATAGCTATAACTTCTTTTGGCTTGCGCTCAGGGTTAGACGCGATGACTTAATGCAGCGACTGGTATCCTTAATGGATCCCCAATGTCTTCTTAAGCCCTTTTCAATGAGAGAAGAGGAAAAAGACCGGTCTACGATATTCCAGATCTCCACGTGGAATCGGAGATGGTTTGCCGTCTGCTGGGCACGACTTAAGTTATCGGCAATCAGTGCAGTTGGTGTAGCTTCACTAGGGGGGCACGAAATTGAGAACATATGTGAATTTGCCGATATAGATCTTGCAAACCAATTGATAGAAGCGGGATTAGATATTAGGAAGCCCTGCCCAGACAATGCATCTCCTGGTTAGCTAAGAATCGCTCGTCGAAACGACCCCGAGCCAATGTTGACCTGGCTATTAAGCCACGGCCACCAGCCCCCCCCCCCCACGATTCCTCACATATGCCGCAACATGCAATTCTATTGCTACAACAAGGTAGCTCATGTATCATTCTTCATTCATCCGAGATTGGTGCGACGCTCTCTATGTGGCAGCAAAGAGCACAGATTACACTAGTGTCGAACTAATGACGATCATTCTACAGAAATCAGCCACAGAATTAGGGGCAAACGCAGTTGTGTCTCAAAATGTGGTTATAGAGATTGTCAATGGAGTGTGCGAGGAAAGACAGAGTCTCGAAAATTCCTCGTTCCCCTCGAGTGATGTTTGGAACGGGACCGTTGAGGCGCTAGAGCGTGGCGCGATCCAGAAGATCAAAGCTTTGGGAGAGGTAGTTGGGAGAGTTGAGGTCCTTGGTACCAAGCTGGCCGCTCAAAATGCGGGCTTTTGCCATCTTTCAGAGGCTCTGGATTTCATGGGGAAGGAAGTCACTCAGGCTTAATTGAGGTTTCCTTGCTGCCCAAGCCTGCTTCCATACATTCAACATCGCCACTGGCAGGCGAATAGAACGTCTGGGCGTCTGTGATTCCATTTCAACAATGGTCTCAGCTGTTCTAGTACCAGTTACATCAAAATCGAGTCAAAGCAGCGGCTAGACGGTGCCGCTGTGGAAGAAAATTTTGCTCACAATAGCTATGTGTATAAGCTGAATTTTGCACTCTAGTAGACGTAACCTACAAATAGACTATTAACACACATGCAAATCTTTTCTGATCTGTTTACAAGTCCGTCAATTGGCCACAGGGTCGCTTGGTCACACTCTCCTCAATCCAACCAGACAGTCACTGCCACAGAGTGACAGATCAATCTACTTTATCACTTGGGTCACAGTTCTTAGGATGGATCAAAGTACAGATACAACTTCCAGAAGTGATTGTATCGTGGTGGCTATCGGTTGGCAATTCGGGTACAGCCGAAACTGTTTTGAAGGGGAGAACCGCAGTGCCAATCCACTTTCAGATCCTCACACGCAATCGAACAGCGGGGGATATAATGATCTTGAATGACCCGGTTCCTCCCCCTGAGATACCTAGAGCATGGGATTACCGGGATTGTTCTCAGCAAAACCAATCACGACAACGGAGATAATTAGAAGCCAGATGAGCAGGTCGGCTAGATCTCGGAGCTGCATACGTACATAACGAAGCTATTTTTAGCGGAGTTTGAGATCACAGGGATTTTTTCTCTATCAATCCAAGCATAAAAGAGACAGATTCCCATCTCAAACATTGGACTCTGTATAAAACTTTGGCCCATTATTTATCTCTTCCAGACGACAGCAATACAATACAAGTCAACGCCGCCCCTGCGATAAGTAATGCAATCCAGTATGCTCCCCCATACAGGTAGCAGACGATCGTTTCTCCCAACTCCATAATTATCCCGACGTCGAATTGCCCGCCTATAGTGGAGTACCAGGCTAAATCTGTGGATGCCCAAGACTCTACTGGACATATTTGTGAGGTTGCTCAGAGTATAATTGACTGGAATTGTTTTCCATTTGGCATTGCTTCACGCTAATTGTACTAGACGTGGCTATCGTAGAAAAGCAATCCCCTGCCGGCACCGTTTTCATTCCTATCCAACGACACCTTTCTCAACTCTGTGCAAAGTTTCATTACCGAACAGGAAATTACAACGAATATACGCTAGGAGACATATACCTAGCCGTGAAGTCCGAGACTAGATATATAGGGGGAAAGCAGTGTATCTCGCCCCTTTTGGTTCGGCTACAGGCTCAGCTGCTGGATGCCACTTTCGCCTGCAGTGAACAGGGGCAATTCACACAGCTTTTGCTTTTCCTACGTGAGCCTATCAAAATCCGCAGACAAGGGGCCCAGCTTGTCCCCCTTGAGGGGCCGGACCAACTTGAGGAAGCCAGATTCGAGCATTTGTTTCCCTATAATCACACGGGCCGAAGTCATCCTAAATACTACTGGATGTACGTCTCCCTCCCCGCTTTCGGTGGCGATGTGCTCCATACGATAGGAACCCCCGAGCAACTTCTACGCCTGTTCAAATCAGGATAGAGGAACGGACAGAGTCTTCACGGGAAATTCACATCAAGATAACAGCATACATTAAGGATAAAGCTCCTTTGATACGCAATGCTTCAGTGGACTTTAAAAAGTCCCCGTAAATAAAGGTTCCCGATATTCATGCCCTAAGCAAATGTACAAGTAGAGCAGGTAAATGAAAGAATGAGTGCAAGATCACAAACCAATAACTGTATACTCCACACTAAATTAGGTCTGTGCCTATTCTACGCATTAGGACGACGAGGGAATCAGCAACTGCTGAGAGGTGCAAAAAGTATAAGAATATCGCGCCTTGCGCTTGATAGGAATTACACGAAGAACAGTGCTAGTCAAAATTTTGATAACTCTTGACCCAATAGACCCGGCTTCAATTATCGCATCGCGTTTCTCTTTTAAGCAAATCCTACTTCTCCTGGCTTACATTCTCCTCGACTCCTCCCTGCCCGCTAGACTTAAAGACACTCGCCAGCTTTGGGATATTATATCTCGCGGTAGAACCCAATAGAACCCGCAAATCGGCGAAGAGGGATTTTATAAGATTAAAGAGTTACCCTAGGAGACATATAGCCCAGCAACTCGACAGTACTGGGAAAAGGTCCGAGAATATCTTTTGCAAGAAAGGCTAGTCTATTCCGAGGTATCGAGTCAAGGAGTTCGGGAAAATCTGCGCAATCTTCTCTGCCGTATTGAGCAAATATCCTCGCAGGGCCTGAACGCGCTTTGCACTCCAAAATGTGCCCTTGTAGTACCGAAAAAGCAGCTCGGGTTAAGAGCTAGTTTGGTTCTGATCTGCCTCAGTGTTTCTATAACATCAACTCCACATAAATCAACACTACGAACATAGCTTTCGCACCTTAATAAAGAAAGACTCCGGCAAATGGCTTCCGAGATACAGGGATCACCCTTGTTTCAGTTTGGAGTAGGGCCAAGTTAATTATAGGATACGTTATGTTCTTTGGAGTTGCTCTTTTCCGGTGATAATCAGAATTCAGGTTGCAGCCCTGTATTTAGAACTTCAAATGGCGAACAATCATAGATAGTGAAAGTACAACATAAAACCCGGAAATGGCAGTACTTTTCCACCTAGCCCAAAAGACGGGATTCCTTGAGCCCGCGCGATACAGGATCAAAACGACGCCGTCTAACAATATCAACGACAGATAAGATCTGTACGCGACCTAGTTTTAAACGCCTGAAGCGTCCGTCTTCTGACGACGATGTTTACCATTCAAGCACTACATAACTGTGTAATTAAGGAGAAGGACTTCCCCATTAAAGGCTCTGACTTCGAAAGTAATGCATTTTTCTATTTTCTGAGCGTAGGGTTCGTGCACTAGCATTGAGATTGGTAATGTAAAATCAGTTTATGCAAAAGCGATTGCTCCCAGAGAGGGAAGGCCGGGCCACCACCCAATAGTCGTTTGTGGCTAAAGGTGTTGAAGCGTCGGCTCACTAAGTCGAGCCTATCTGATTCCACTGCTAGATTGACTTGGCCTTGCCCTGGAAAGATAACGGCACGGATTGCATTGAGTCTCCTCGACCAATCACAAATATAATCTATATCCAAACATGGCGAATGGATGTCTCAGATATGTGATGAAGCGGCGGTGGGGATAGCTAGTGAACATCGCGGAAGAAAATAGCCCACAAAGGATATTGGGGGCTTTGAACCTCAAGGAAAGGTTGGAATGGAGTGGAAAGAAGAGTTGAGAGGTTGAATCGGTACAAATTGAAGCATTGACCTTGCAGTAGCCTCTGAATGACCGGTCAGATCCTCCGACAACCGAATTAGGAATCTGCCATGGCAGATACCTCAACGGGTTTAAATCTGGCTCTAGCCACAAACCATCCTCCGCTATCAGCTTTCTTTCTCCACAACATGTCTCGGCGATTGTTTCCCTCTTTTCATGGCGATGACCAAGCGTATATTGAATTCCTGGAGCTGCAATTGATCAGCACACAGTAGGAGGTGCCAACAGAGTCAACGATAGCATGGGTGCCAGAGAACACAAATCCAACATCGTCGGCTTGCGGCTTCAACATCGTGCAATATGACCCTAAGTCCTCCCGCACAGGTCAGCAAGTATCCGAGTCAGCAGAGCGATGGAAAAAAGCGCTTCAAAAATTCATTGACGCTATTCCTACCGCGGAAAACTGGTGTGCAGCCCGAGCAAAGGCAGGCGTCGACACATCTTTCAAGAACCAGCTCGCGGTACGATTTATGCTTGGCCATACCAGTACTGCTGCATTTGCATTTCGGCCGGCCGAGAAGGATGCTATACGACCATCAATTCTTCCTACCGAGAACAAAGACCTTGTCATTAGAGGTTATAACTATGCAGAATATATTCATCGATAGGCAGATAACCTGAGCTTCAAAGAATCGGTGGTATCTTTTCAGGCTCTGATCTTCGTGAGCTACTGCCTCGTGTTGATACAGTCTGGGGTTTCCAAAGAGACGACCAACAACATGATGAGGCGATACTTTGTTCGGAATAACGAAGACAACACCCTCGAGAGCTATCGCCGCGGGGTGGTTTGGATCCATCGATACATCGCAGACTTGTTGGTCAAAGGATAGGGCCACAGGAGCTGGGAGGTCTTTCTGCTTGGTATGTACCTAGTCTTTCGGTGTGATCAGAATTAAGAAGTGGAATGTTTTCAGAACGACGGTCGATTAGTCAGTTTGCACGATTCGCTGCCAATAATACGCGGAGCTATGAAACGCTGGTTAAGTAATTGGGTGAAGCCAGTATGCCAGAACATGAACAGAACTGGATCCTATACTGCATTCCTTGCATTGTACAGTCACTAGCAGGTGACATTATTGGGTAAGGATAATCCATCGAACAAGAAAACATATTCTGACACGCAATAATAGACTGGAACGCATCTGTGAAATTCTGGGCTACAACTTGGAGGCGAGGACCTGGGTTGTGTTATCATCCGAACAATTCTACAACTCTATCCAAAACCTGGCCGCTCTCCCCGCGAGACAGTTTGCGAGCAGTGGACTCAGTATCCTTGGTAAGAGCAACAGACTTCACCAACAAAGTTATCTGACCCATGCCAACTCCTCCGGTCTCTCTTTCAGGACGAGAAAATCTGCCACCGGCCCGACCATGATGTCCGATCGAAGAACATAGTAGTATCCCAGTAGAAGGCGTTCGATGCCATGGGCTAGATCTATGATTTAGGGTACGCCAGTCACAACGCTTATAGGGATGAGGATGGTTTCATGGAAGGTGGAGACTATTTTGTTGATAGAAGACCGATACATTTGGTACGGGCAACCCTACTATGGTTAACATAACTCCTCATTCTCTCTCTCGTAACGTACTTCGCGATTTAAGACCTGGAGAAGAGGTCTAACCATTGGCTCTATCTTAGAGACCTCGTAGGTGCGATGTTTATGACAATCAACGGTGAAGTCATCATTCTGCATTCTGTCCGCGGATGCCTATTCAGCCAGCTGTTGCCGGAATGGTTCGGCCTGTCGCGGGAGTAGGATTGGACCCAACATTCGTGTCTCGTCAATGTCACCCCTCGCGGGAATTATGTCTTCAAGCTGTATGTAGGCAGTCGTCAACTCCAAGAATTAGCAGGATATTCAACAATGATGCATACCATATTGTTGGCTTGTATGCCCGGATTTTAGTCGATATTTCATCTGCAGGTGAGCGAATACCTGGTGAGGGGCAGTCGATGAATCACTTTCACGCACGTGACAAGAATGAAATCCCCATCCGCCCCGACGACAGCCTGTGGGCTATCAAGGACGATCGCTTCAGTCGCCGGAGATCCTAACTTCTTAACGCATTCAAGGTAGAGAGATATTAAGTCTAGCCTTGTCGGCTCCCCAAGGAGTTTCAATATAGTATGGGAGCAATGCTTGCAGCCGACCGCATGTCACCGCTAATGAACCACCATTTAACTTTATCTTTCAGTTCCTATTATATTTATGCATGTCAAAGACTCCAATTGATAGAACGCGCTTTACCAACATGAATGGTGGGGACATCCATGAATATATTTCGCTTTGTCCGCCCCATGGCTCAGTCCCTTTAGACCGTTCCCATTCCCCGTCAGCAATAGTCCCACTCTACCATGACTTCGCAGCCGAAAGACAGTGGACACAAGGTGTTGGGAGACAAGGTCTCTCTGGAGGTATGCTGTGAAAGAGTATAACGTTATTTTGACGCGTACTAATCGTTTAGACATTGAGAATATGCCTTCCCGACTCTTGCCCAAATATCGGGACATATCTTGAGGAAAAGGGTCTTAGCAAAATTGTCCGTGAAACTGTGCCACTTGAAAACACCGCTTGCCGGCCAGAGGGATGGATCTTGGTTGACCTGGCAGTTGAGAGGGAGGGAATTCCTCTCGTGCAGGGTTGCTTTTCTTCCGTCTCGTCATCGCTTGATGATCTGAGTCTGGTCATTATTGACGAGGACTCGAGCGATCCCGAGACACAAAAATGGCTAAGATTCTTTTGGGTTCACTCCAATTATCTCCGGCAAAACGCAGTGGCAAAGGAGAGCGGACGTGCTTCAGCGCGTGTGCTTGAATGGTATCAAATGCGCTTGGATAAGTTGAGCATGGTGCTGATGCAAAATCGCGCTTGACTTGGGCTTGGTTTCGAGGCTCCAATTCTTCATTGTGTCATGGGGGTTGGTGATCTCCTTGACTGGATGTACCTGAGAACTATGTGTATTAGTTTATTACCGATAGGTGACAACGGAACTGGAGCATCAACTGTGCGAAAAAGCCCCAGAATGGTACTGGTGCAAATAATAGAGAAACCGTGTGCGGAGAAACCAGATAAATATCTATGAACCATGGTCAATATTAGGCGAAGGGACAAGGACCTGAGCTATGTGAGAAATACGGTGTCTTTTTTTTCTTCGTTGCCTTTATTCCCGCTGTGATGCGCAATCTCCAGAATTGGGTTCTGTCCCGAGAGCCATAAAGTTAGCCGTCTGAAGCGATTGATCATTTCGTTTTACGTGAGTAATTTGCCTTATCCGTCGTAGACAGAGCCCCGTCCCCAGAGTCTGACATTGTTCCTGTATCACTTTTAGTGCTTTTGCTGATATCCATTTTTAAGAAGTGGCTGACAAAATGGGCGATTAGCCGGTAATGAGTCGAATATACGTCGAATGAACAAGTTCTGGATGGAGGACGAATTTAGGAGCATCGACTTTATATGCCTGCCAGCCCCCGAAAATCTAGCACGAGGCAATGGATCATGTAGCCGGTTGAGAGTTTTTCATTCCCAACAATCTAGCTGGGGCCAGACTTTCTTATGGACCTTTTGTATTTTTGATGTGTAGAAAACAGTAAAAATTCAACCAATCCTGTTTAGGACGACGAGGTTAAGACCTCGCTATATGCTCCCGACGGTCAAGCACACCCGATAGCCTAGAACAGCCGAATCCAACTACGGTCAGCCGCCAGGTTCAGCCGTGCTGGTATTGGCCAACTGCAGGGGCCTTCGTTCCCGTCACATTGGTCTTCATGCGCAGCTTCGACTGAGTCTCCGGCCCTCTTGGTTCAAATATCTTTCTTTTCTTCCCTCTTTGTCCATTTCCCTTAGGCATACACATACAGGAAGTGCTTTCCAGCATTACGTGAACTTGTCATCGACTATATTCCGCTCAATTACCACAGTGGACCAAATTTCCGGAACAAACTTCTCTTTCCGTGTATTCTGAGGGTTCGGCGACACATCATGGAACAGCATTCACTCCAGAAAATCCTAGAGTCTCTGCAAACATTCTCCCCAATTCTCCTTTTTATTTTTTTTATCGGATTTAAGATGGTTACCTTCACAGCAGCAGCGAAAAGGAGCTTCTCACCTATTACAAAACGAGTCTTCAACGGGCTATCCGCCGTATTGCTCGCAACATATTTCGGAGAAGCGGCGATTTGTGTTACTCATGTGGTGATCGCCCGTTCTGAGCAGCGGTGGTGCGGGCAATCTGTCGTGGTACGCAGGTGCAGCCTTCGATGAAAATTGCGGTCATTGAGCTAACATCACAGATCTATATTACCGGGTCAATGTTTTTCTATATAGTCCTTCTTATATCCTTCAAACGGACCACCTCCTACCCGACGGCTACTCAATTGATATATTGGTCTGTCGCCATCCCTATCGAAGTGGCCATTCTATGCACTTCCTTGATCTTGTACTGCTCACTCCATCGTGAACGAGCAATAGGGGATTCTTTAGGGCCTTTAGGAGGCCCAGTTCTGAAAGGGTTAAGCCCATGGGAAATTATAGAAGTTGTCGCAAACAGTGTCCGCATCGTGACTCTTGTCTCTCAAGTCCTGCTTTACGCCAGCAAGTCGGGTCTTCTTGCAAGCAGAAGTGAGAGTTTACATGACCAATTCAATGAAGCTACAGAGACTACTAGGCTGTTGGATTCTTCCGGGGGCAACCATATAAACAGCCAGATTCCTGAGCCAGTACACGATGGCTTACAGGATCCCGACATCCACCGCACAACATTTCCCTTTGGAAACAAGTGGAAGTATCTTATAGGCTATTCGATTTTCCTCCCTTATATGTGGCCATCAAAGTCGCATGGACTCAAGCTCGTGACGCTGGCTTGTCTCTTCTTGCTTGTAGTTCAGCGAATAAACAATGTGATGACCCCTATTCTGGTTGGGGTGATCACAACAGCCCTAGCAAACCAACAAGAATCATATGCGTTCTATGTTGTGTGGCCACAGATTACACTTTATGTTTTCACTAGGTGGTTGCAGACAGGCTTAAGCTCTCTACGATCCGCACTTTGGATACCAGTGAGCCAATATTCTCGCATGGAGCTGTCAACGGCTGCCTTTGAGCATGTCCACAACCTCGGCTTGGACTTTCATCGAAATAAAAAAACGGGAGAAGTGTTATCGGCATTGAGCAAAGGCAAATCGGTCACTGGGCTTCTAGAACAGGTTGTCTTTGAGTTCATTCCTACTCTATTAGACTTGTTTATCGCGATAGGCTACTTTCTGATTGCTTTTGATGCCTACTACGCTCTGGTGGTTGGAATATCATCTTTCGGCTATATTTATGTCACTATTCATATGAGCCTCTAGAGAGCACAAACCAGGAGAGAGATGGTCAATGCATCACGGTACGAGGATGCTGTTAAGTGAGTTGGCACAAGACGCAAAAGAACTTCCTGTCAAATACGCTAACAGGGCTAGAAATGAATCGGTGGTTGCATACGAAACGGTGAAGCTTTTCAATGTAGAGCAACATGAGTTTCATCGATACCGCACTGCTGTTAGAGATTATCAGAAAACTGAGTACTATTCGTCTCTGCGCGGCACAGTGCTTAATACTGTCCAAAATACTGTCCTGATGACCGGGTTACTCTGCACGTGCTTTATTGCTGCGTACCAGGTGTCCACTGTTCAGCAACCCGTGGGTTTGTTCGTGACCCTGTTGATGTATATAGCATAGCTCCAGGGCCCACTGGGATATTTCGGTTCCTTCTACCTCTCTATCCAATCGTCTTTGATTAATGCTAAGCGTATATTGGAACTCTTCCGAGAACAGTCAACAGTGGTGGATAGCAAGCTTGCTACGCCGTTAGTTGCCTGCAAAGGAGAGATCCGGTTTCAGAATATCAAATTTTTCTACGATGACAGAAAGGTTCTTTTTAATGGACTTACATTCACTTGCAAGCCAGGGACCACTATAGCCCTAGTTGGAGAGTCTGGAGTGGGTAAATCGACCATCTTCCAGATCTTGTATCGGTTCTACAACCCCGCAGATGGCAGTGTTCATGTTGACGGATATGATGTGCGGGACCTCACTGGGGATTCTATTCGCAGGCACGTTAGTATAGTGCTACAACATCTAGCACTCTTCAACGAGTCCCTGATGTACAACCTGAAATACGCGAACCAGAATGCCACCGATGAGGAGGTCTATAACGCTTGCCGCGCTGCTGGTATTCACGATAAGATAATGGCATTCCCCGATGGCTACGATTCCAAAGTGGGAGACCTCGGCCTACGGCTTAGTGGTGGCGAGAAGCAACGCGTGGCTATTGCTCGCACAATCCTCAAAAAAACCCGTATCATCCTTTTGGATGAAGCAACATCTGCCCTTGATGCTGTTTCCGAAACCTTTCTTCAGAGGTCCCTGAAGACATTCTCCTATGACCGCACCATACTAGTGATTGCCCATCGGCTTAGCACAATAACAGCAGCAGACTGTATCCTAGTCCTGCACGAGGGCCGAGTGGTCGAAAGAGGAACACATACTGAGCTCCTAGAACTAAATAGTCGGTATGCGGACATATGGCGAAACCACACCCGGGAGTAAGCCGAACCCCGCAGGCAGGAGGGTGATATCTGTTAGGATGATTTTGTTGGGTTGTTTTAGTAAATCCCATATCGCATCCATCACGGATAAAGTTGACGCAGGCTTTTCTTGGGCTTTTCTTGGCAATGTTGAATGGAGTTTACCTTTCATGTAGCATCCATCCATCCGAGAGGCTCTAATTTTTATACTCTTCGAGTAGGATTCCACCAACCATGCAACCATTGTATAGTAGCCTCCGCTTCGCACAAATTGGGCGTTCTTTATGTCATCGACTCGATCACTCGACACTGGGTGGAAGCTACTCGCAGGGTAGGCCGACTTCCACGTAGCGCTGCGCCAGATGGTACGCTCGCCGCTGGAGTTGACAGAATCACTAAGTCCTTACCCGCGTTAATGACGGATACCATAAGTCACGCGCCACTCAATCAGAAGGTATGTAAACTCATGTTGGAAACCTACCTCAACCGGGCTGTATCTCCATACGCGAACCATAAGCCAGCCATCGGGGCCATACCTGCGCGCATAGTATATGTGCGAAGGTCTTCAATATCTCCAGTCCATCAAACTGATCACTTGTTTCCCTTTTGACATCATAGGCCGAGATTGCGAAACTCATCAATAACGTCATTTCGCAAGAGACTGAGTTATCCTCTGCCAAGTAGGTCTTTCACTCCAAGTCTTGCTCTTCCTAGTAACTGATTGATCGTAAACAGCTTCATCCTGAAGATTTGAGACGGACCAAAGCCCCAGAATCCTGGTACCCAAAGATGAAGGAGCTTCATCCGTGCCAGAAACCACCAACGGTCCATTTGATTGCCGCAGAAGATAACGATCAAACCCAGGGCGATGGACGTATGGCCGCGGTATCCCCTGCGCTCAATACCTCCCATGTTGTGGCAGGAGGTAGCCTAAATACTGGCTGCATCAAGGTCCTTAGTCGTATCATAGTCGTTGACGGCTTCTTCTCTTAGTATCTGGCCCGCTCGTTCTTCGCTCAATTCGGCCGCGTTCAAACTCTCTTGAACTACAGGAACTCTCGGGTGATCGTTAAGCTAAGCCACGAGGAGGCAATGAACGCTCGCGAAGGCATAGGATCGTGTAGAGTACGCGGTATGCAATTCGTTCGATGGTACTCAGATTTTATGTCGCCCAGCTATATGGACACCTCTACTGGCATCAGCATCATTCCAATCAGACACCTTAGCAGAATAGAACGCGAATGGCTCCTTACGGCAGAACACGGCGACACCAAAGGTTTTCTTATTCGTTCTGGAATGGTTCTTGACGCGCCGGGTACTGATTAAATGTCATGTCAAGGATCTTCTAGTTAATGTCTCCTGATACCGACTTGGATTTGAGATGTGACCTAGATACCCTCGATGCTGGTATCCGTGCGTGCACAATATCCAGCCCGTGGTTTTTCCCGTAGTTCAGGCGAGTTAGCCGCTCTAGCGAGAAATTGTGAAGATATTGCTTGAGGACGGGGCCGACATTAGTTGTCAGCGTGGTCCGTACGGCAGCGCGCTTTAAGCTCTGCTGTGCAAAGGCTCCCTGGGATATCGAGATTCCCGAAATCCTGAACGATCACGGCGCTGATGTTAACGCACAGGCTGGAAAATCTGGTAGCGCGCTAGAGAGGGCTTCCATACTAGGCGATGATGATGTTGTGCAGACAGACTGTACTTGTTTAAATCGGTTTGTGCACAGAATACATACTGGAAGTTATTTGGTCTATGAAGCAATTTGTTCCAATTTGAATAACGCAATTTCAGATTTATAAGAGGCCTGCTCTTGTATAAACACATAAACAGGGAAAATCAAAGCTTCGATCCTATAGTATCCGGCTCACTTGAGCGGCAACAGCATGGCACAGGCAACAACTAATCAGCTCAAGGTCGTATTTAAATTGTGCGTTCACGACCATGCGATCTTCGGTGATCTCTGGGGGACTCCGACCTTCCTACCTTTAATCGCTGAATCTCTCTTTCTAGTTTCTTAATCAATGCGTCATCTTTCTGAGTTGCCGACTTTGCCCTGCCTGTGGGCCCCCTTGGACGGCGACTGGGCTCACTGCGGTGTCTCCTGTACCGGCTGTTGTGTGACTGCGCGACTGCATCGCTTTCAGAGTCACTGTATTCACTAGAATCATGGCGGTAATGACCTCTAGACTTGCCCTTGGCCGACTTTGAGTAGCGCGCAGGCTCGCTCCGATATCTCCTACCATGACTGACTTCTATATCGCTGTCTTCCTCATCGTAGTCGTCATCGACGATATCCTCTAGCCTATGTCGCTCACGGTAAGCTGTCTCGAGTTCTTCGGCTTTCTGATATATCATTCGATCGCCGTCTAGTGACGAGCTAGTGGAAATACGACGAATGAATGAACGTCCTTCCAATGTTATCACACCATCTTTCCATTTCACCAGTGCGCGCGTGTGTGGATAGGAAGCACCCTTTGCAGGCCGTAGTAGATCAAGAGGATTGAAGCCCTCTTCATCATCGTCTTCGATCTTCCAACCAACGCCAAGGATGTTCTCTATATCTTTGCGTTTGTATTTCCAGAATTCCTCTGGCAGGCCATTTTTTGTGCCGGATATTTTAGCGTTGCCACGTGTTTGTGTCAGGACACGTTCGACTATATGAGGACTGTAGCTCTCGTGAGACCCAGCTCGAATCCGATAAATAGGTGTGTTCCGGTCTCTATATCGCACAAAAATCTGAGAACCAGTGCCTTTAGGCCACCAATATAGAACTTTGGCTGAGGTAAGTCGGCGTTGCTGCTTTATGGTTCTCGATTCAAGGGCATCAAGTCCCGTCTGGTTGTTATTATCAGACTCAATATCGGAACTGACTCCAAGTCTTTCGTTCATCGCCTGCTGATCGGTCAGGGTAGATTGACTATCATCGCTAGTAGCGGTAGACTCGGTATCCCCTGTTCTCGGATTTTGTGTCCTAATTATTTGTTCTGCCCATTCCTGGCTAATATTCCAGGCTTTTGGGAGATGATGCCTTTTGTTGAAAATCTTTATCAGATCGCGAGTTTGATTGAAAGCAGACCAAAATTCCTCCGGTGATTGATCATCGACAGCTTTATTTGCTGATTGCTGCTAAGTCTGGCATAATTTGTTATAGTAAGTCGGGTTAATAGCACCCGTCTCGACGTCCGTGACACTGTTTTGCTCATTGGTACCTCGGATAAGCTGATTGAGCCTGTCAAAGAACGCTTTGCATTCGTCGTAGGCAGGCTCTTTGGCAGTGAAAAACTCTTCAACTATTCTCTCTGACTGTTTCGATGTTTCGCTGTAAATAACATCTTTCACCCAAGCACTTAGAGAATGTGGCTCCTCCTCAATTGGTCTATCTCTATCAGAAGCATCATTCAACTCCAGATCTGTTACATTGTCTGAATCATGATCTCCTGTATTGGAGGCAAAATCTCCTTCTCGGGTTGGGCTCCTTGCATACCTAACCCTGAGATCGCCCCTTTTACCTTTCGTGGCTGCGAACGTTCAATAATAGAAGTGAAATTAGATGAGGCAAATATGCACGTACTTTGGAGATCCGCTCTCTCGCTTGATATGGCCTTTCCAGAATCAACGCTGTTCTCTCGGTCGGATACAGGTGTTTGGATATCGCGTGCGCTCTTTTTGGCCTTTTGGGCCTTCTTTTTTCCTTTCGGTATGCTTGAATTGAAATTTCAGGGGAATATCAATATTGTGGTAGCTTTGTAGTGCGAGAAACGTTGTTTTATATGTTTACCACAATTGAGCGAATGCTACGCTTACGAATCCCGAGAGCGGTAACTATAATCACCGACCAAGAAGAGTGATACAGGACAGAGGAATGATACTGGTCCAACAGAGTGTCGCAGGACCAATAGAGTGTCGCAGGACCAATAGAGTGTCGCAGGACCAATAGAGTGTCGCAGGACCAATAGAGTGTCGCAGGACCAATAGAGTGTCGCAGGACCTAAAGAGTGTCGCAGGACCTAAAGAGTGTCGCAGAACCTAAAGAGTGTCGCAGGACCTAAAGAGTGTCGCAAGACCTAAAGGGCGTTGGAGCTAAAGGCCGTTGCAGGATGTCACGTACGCAAATATATGGGACAATAACTCAACACTTCCGTATCCGCTGATACAGTAAGAATTATTGAAATCAATGACTGAGAGATACATATCACGAATTTGTATTCAATCCACACCATTGATATGCTACTGTAGTAAGCTGTGGGTAAATGTGTCTTATTCTTGTACTAGCTCGGCCTGTACGTCTGCTGGGAAACTAGATACAATAACTCTCCTGTTTGAGTAGTACGTCACGTACCTACCTCTGATGCAGCAGGCATATTTCCTTGCAAAAATGCACTCATCTGGTCCAGCACGCTAGAGCACTGAAGACATTTCGTCTGGTACCATTCACAAAGAGACATCCAATTCAATATATCCTGCTCGTGACGTTGGATAGCAATCCGGGACTCCTCTATTACAGACCTTTGACAGTTAATCTTATCATTTGCTTCTGTCACAGCCTGTTTATATCGGTGCGCTTCTTCTTCGGCTACTCGTAGTTTCCCAGCGAGACTGAGGTTCTCAACTTGTAGTTGTGCGATAAGATCGAGGTCCTCCTGCTTTTTCAAGATCTGGAATATTCAGTGATACCGACTCTGAATTCAAATAGTAATCAATTACCTTATCAGGTCGGACCGCCTAGAAGCTCTGGCCTACCATCTTGTGAAGCAGCATGTAAGTCCCGACTGAGTGTTTACTCAAATGCTTCTGGAACAGTGGTTCAAGAGCCGGATCATCTATCTGCCATCTGTAAGGCGTATCTTCTTCTGATTTTAATCGCACATCAGATAGTTGCACTTCAATACTAAGCGTCTCCCCTATCCGAGATGTCAGCGAATAAACGAAAGAAAATTGGGTTAATAGCAATGATATATGTGCTGAGAGAGACGATTCCTGCAGGTAGCCCTCCAAGAAGCCCGCTTCTTATTCCTAAGCGACGCAAGTTGTCTATCCATTTTGTTTGTAAAGTGAAAATTATCCAGACGTCGCTGGCCTTTTTATAGGATTTGAGACCAGCTTATCAGTTAGTTTAGGTCTGTCCGGGCCCGACGGCACCATTTAGTGGTTTTGTTACAGTACGATCCTTAGGAAACTAACAGAGCTATCGACTTTAAGAAGGTCTTAGAAAATTCACTTTGAGCTGGCCGACGTGTCCACCAGAGAAAAAAGACTGGTCCCCTTCAAGCTAGTGGTATTTTACAGGAACTATTACTAGGCTTTCAACCTTGACAGTATTCCCGGTCTCGGTGACAACTTCCCAAAATGTGCTCGCACAATCTGACGAGCGAGGACCCGGGCTGAACCTTTCATAGAACAAACTTATTCTATGGAAATCCACGTGCTGCACATTTCCACTATGAGCCTCAAGGAACGAAATCAATTTAGAGCCAAGGAGCCAACAGTCTGTGATTTCGAATCTCTGTAGGCACGGCAAAGGCACAGCAGACATTAGGTCCAATAAGCCCGGGCTGTTCACTAACTTGAAGTTTCTGACGCGAGCCAGACCTTATTCCGCAATCTCTAGAATACTCGAAGATTCATGGGTTGATCTGAAAGGCATCCTATGTATCTCCAAAGTCTGAATAGTCAGCCCATTCCACTTCGCTGCTGTCATACCTCTTAGAACTGCTTCAAAGTGGATCGCAAACGAGTTCCAGCTGTCAATAAATAGTCGATTCGAAAACCATAGCAGCTGATTTTCCTGCTCCCCAGTAAATAACAACCTGATGCACTCTAGCTTTATCAGGCGAGGGAGGCTTTCCGTAAAGGCACGGATATCTTTCCTTTCCTCTATAATAGCCTGCTGGTCGACAATAAGGCCTTGAAAATAAGCATAGATTTCTTTATAAGCAAAGCTGTTGCCTCTGAGATTCCAACAAAAGTCTGTGTAGTCTTTTGCATACTCCTTTGGAGTATATACGCAAGAGGTGAAATAATCCCAGTTCTGGATGACTGTGGGTGGGTGTAAGCATGGGATACAACCTTCAGTTTGGGCATGTGTGACATACCTGGATCAAATAGCTCCGAGGCATCGTAGTGGAGAATCTTCACATATGCTGCCAGAGGAGACCTTGATAATTCCTCTAGCACGGTGAAGTCAAACTCCGAGTATGTAATCTCGATCGTTCTGAACATATAGGGTTCGCTCACTGCTCGGCATTTTCTGCTAACTAGCGAGAATGATTTCATTGCGTATTTGCTCAGGTTCGATGCAATGAGTTCTAAGATTTCAAATAGGAGGTCTGTTAGATTCGCTATTTCCTATTTCGTTGGATGGTTGTTCGGATTAATTTTGTTACTTCAAAATTTTGAAGTCAGATATTTATCTCCTGAATATAACACAGTTGCTGCTGTTATATTTTGGGTGTGCTTACTAGCCTATAATAAAGCCGAATTGATAGCGCCCCACCTATGCGACTATGTCTCAGAATCCTAGAGCAAGCTAGTCACTGTAGGGACCCAGTTAACTATATAATCAGGCCACTATTATTGTTCTTCAGCACTACACTTTCATTTTGCGCCTGCTGAATCCACAAAACCTACAGTCCATCCTAATCAACATCGTGAAGGTGAGTTCTAAAATCTCGTGGAAATTGGTGATAGATATCTAATACATTTTAGAATGAAAGGAAGGGTATTCTGGTTATGTGCATTATGCACACTGTCTGGGAACCAGAAGCTAAACATCAAATTTGTCCTATATGACCCGGGATCTTCTTTTACAATCATATGGTCTCACATTCTCCCTGCTAAGCGACGCATCAACATATACACACTCTGTCAATCTTGTTTAGCAACTATAGGGTGCACCTCGTTCGAAGAGGAGATGAGTCTGATCCTCAAAGTCAAGAATCTGCAGGTTTTTCTTGATAGGAAGGTCGCGTGGACTAAGAAGGAATGGAAATTCTGGGTTCACAACCGCGAGTTCCAGGAAATCCATAGAGCTGTGAGCGATACTCATGATATATGCCTCCACCTCGCTGGCAGTGCCGCATTACCACTTGCAAATTACTGAGAGAATCGGAGGTCAGGGAGAATGATGATATTAAAGGATCACTGCGTAAGGGATAATTCGTTAACTAATGAAGTAGCCCAACTAGGTCACATATAATACTTCTCTAGTTCTAGTTGGATCAGTAGTATTTGCAGTAGAGAAGCGAGTACGGCTGTAAGGTACACAACAATAAACTATGAATCCTGTGAAATGAGCAAAGGAAAAGAAGAACTGTGTATTGAAAATGGTTTAATAGCTATATACATTGTCAGATCATAGAAACGACACCCCGGAAGCCAGATTGCCAACTTAGCCGAGGGGCATCGCCGCGATCTTAGGCGGCTAGATAAGTTCGAAGGGATAATATCTCAATCCAGAAAAGCAAGCAATAGGATATAACCCATAGAAAACAACACCATTGAAGCTAAGATACGATACAATGCCTGAGATATAATACTTCTAGAGATTCCCATATTTTCGGCTGTTAGCTTCTGCATAGCAGTTGGACGGGAAACTGATGACGTCTCTGTGGTTATTTTGCTTGCTATCGTAGTTAGTAAAGATAGAGGAGCATATATAGCCTCCTCGGTCGTTGAGATAACCGGTATATTCATCCAATTCAGGTCTTTCGGCGCTAACGTAGCCTGTACAGAGATTGTTTGCCGTGCATGACAGGATGCGTAGGTTGTACCATCAATGTGGCAGGATAAAGATGCGGTACTATACAGCAGTTATATTCATTAGAAAGTGGCTATAGACTGGTGAAGTGTCCCTCACTTGTTGACGTTATTTGAATGTCTTAACTCTGCGA